GCGGACCGGACGGGAGTGATGTACTACAGCGATCGGTCGGACGAGCAAGATGACAGTTCCGATCAAGTCGAAGAGAATCGCAAAAGATGCAGCCGCACTGTGGAGAGGAGAAGAGAGCAACGAGTTACTAGGCAGGAGCATGAAGGTGGAAGAAGAAGCAGTCCACGCCTACGCTCGCGAGAAGCTGTAGATCGACGAGGGGAGACCGGGCAAAGAACGAGGGATTCTCCGAGGCCGAGAAGTCGGAGTCGGAGTCGGAGTCGATCACCCTCCTTGGATCAGAATCGAGAAAGACGAGAACGTGGTCGAAGAGATTCTCGTGATGGCCTAGAGAGGGGAGAGTATCGTGACCGCGACGGCGTGGTCCGACGCTACCCCCGGTGAACGCAGGCGTCCCTCAGGCGATCACCGTAGATAGGCCATCCAATCCCTTCGCAGTCGCTGCAGGAGAGACGTAACCAACAGGGAACTGCGCGGAAGGCCCGGCTAGGGTGACAGAGTTGGGCTTCCTCCTATGGACGATAGCTATCAACGCCAGCAGAGCTGTACGCAAGCGGAGGCGAGAGGACAGCCCTCAAGCACGATGGTCGCAACTATATTGTGCTTGACGAATGCATCGTGTACGACGCAAACTGTCAAGCGCAGCAGAAGCTGATTGCCATGTATTCCACCGAATGCACCTCTAAGGTATGCTGGTATCAGATGTGGTGCGGTACGTAGGTCGAAACCGAGCGGTGGAGTTCTTCGAGACTCGACGTTGGTGACGGGATGGCGCAAGTCAATGATAAGTTGGTGTACGGCTTGGGTGAACTATCGGACTAGAATTTGACCAACATGCTAGTAGGAGATAGCGAGCGCTCCTGGGAAAGATCAGCACAAGTAAAAGAGTATCTCTAGTCAGACCTGTACAAAGAGCAGATAGCAGTTAAAGTAACATGAAATGAAATGAACGAAGAACTTGAGTCTTAGTACAATGCTCTGCTCAGGTGCCTCAACATGACACCGAACTTCAAGAGACTTTCGATGCAAGCGGGCGTCTGTGCCGGGCGCGCAAACTTGTGGTCCTTCGTCGCCTTTTGGCGTTCATAATTTACAGAAGGAAGTCATCGCATCCGATCAAAGACACGACAAATCAGTGAAGTAGGGCTGCTGTTGTGAACGTAGGGTGTATGGGTGCAGTAACAGCGCGAGTGGTGAAAGGACGCTGGACTCTCGCTTACGCGTGACTTTCGCGTCATGGCCCGTGCACTGACGTCACCACTGGCTCTTCTCTGCCCGATCTCCACATACAAGCAAGCAACTTAGCATTCACTCACGAGAACATTAGATGACATCTTCCATTGGCAACAATGTTACTTTACACAAATCCGACCAGCTTTGCTTCCAAAGTTTTGGGAAGCTCATATCAGCTGAGTCCGCCTTAATACAGGGCATGTACGACGAGCGCACTGAGACGAAGTGCTCGAAACACCTTACCTTGCCCAGCTTCCAACAAGTTCTTCCGTCTCCTCTTCTCCATATACCGTCGCGCTTTCTCTTCGCCAGAGCCCTCCAGGAAGTACTGAATCGCAGCATTAGGAGCGATCGTAATAACCACCAAGGCCACGCGATCCGGAAGGACCTTCGTCGTCGTTCTTGCGGTCAGTCCGGCCTCTAGACTCCCGGCAGTGATAGTTGGGGCTAATGTACACACTACCGGCCGTGATGCCTTGAACAGCATTGTTCCAGGACTGATCAACGCGGTCGGTCCGGCCTCTAGACTCCCGGCCGTGATAGTTGGGGCTAATGTACACACTACCGGCCGTGATGCCTTTAACAGCATTGTTCCAGGACTGATCAACTTCTGCGGTGTGGTCCCCGCGAGGGGCATCAGCCTTGCTTCGGTCAACGTCGTCATGTTGGACGGCCCTCTTTCCCTGGGGCGGTCGCGGTTGAGAGCTCGTAGTATCCGAGCCACGAGGGCGCTGTGGCCGATCTTTCTCGTAAAATGCGGTTTTTGAGTAACCACGATCCTGTCGAGATGAAGCCCGGTGGTCTCGACCTCGTCTATCATCAGAGCGGCGGCGATGCTCGGAACGCCTACGATCCTTGTCCGACTCGTCGTCATACGGGTGATGTTGAGGAGTCTCAGTTTGACGAGGGGGTGGCCGCCGGTCAGGTCGTGGATACGCTGCGAGGCCCATGGCGATACGGCCATCGTCTATAGCATCCCAGTTGATTGAGTCATAGAGTCCGTGATTCAGTTTGTCGTTTCGCTGCGATGTTGTCACTCGCTTGCCAATCGTCTCCAGCAGAGTGACACTGGCTTCATCGAGATATCCGGCGAAATCCCAGTCTTTTGTGAGTGTGCATCGACTGGACGCGCCTGCAAGCACGTATGACATTTCCGAAATGCGAACTGGCTTCATTGCCTGGCTTGTGTCCACTTTGAGAACGCCATGAGGGCCATGGTTGGTGGGGTTTCGGTCGCGAGCATCAGCTACACGTAGCCACTGCCAGTATGTATCCCGCGGTATGTACGGAGCGTGGAGCCCTCGCTCACCGTGAGTCTCCACACACGTAGTCAGAAACTCGTTGTCGCCTACAATGGCGCGAACGATATGAAACCGCCGTTCCGTGGAGACCTTTCCCAGTGCAGTACCAGCGGCGTCGTTTCCGAGAGGAGTACCTTCGTCATAGGAGAACCCCACTGTTCGCTCCCTAAAGACCATACCGACCTTGACTCGATGTTCAAGAGGCATCTGGGGTACACGCGGGATGCTCACGGCTGATTTGCTGAACATCATGAATACGCGGTCGTGGAACGCTGGGTTCAGATGGACAGCAAGGCCCTTGATCACCGCACCAAGGTTAGTATGGATGAAGACCACATTGCGCCGCAGTATCTCGGCGATGTCTTCCGTCATGAGGTCGCTGAATCTACCCGGAAAAGAGGTTAGACGATCGGTCATCCAGACCTCATCTGTCTTTGCTCGGCGTGTGAAGTAGGATGCTTCCGCCGCGCCCCCGTGCTTTGTTGTCCTTGGGCGTTTGGCTGGATGTGTCTCACTGCCAGTCAAGATGGCGCTCGGGTCACCCTCAACTTCAATATTGCTGACATCGTACGACTCCTCGTCGAAGTCATCAGAGGGGCCAGAAGTCACTTCCGTGTGTTTGCGCTTTTTCGAGACATCGGGCGTAGTTCCAAACGCGGGGATAGCAGGGGCTATATCATCCTTCAATACATTAGCTTTGCTCGCGGGGTTAAATATATTGCTTTGACGGAAAAGAGGTACGTGAGCAAAGCTGGGTTGATGCTCAGGGGAGCTTTTATTGATAGTGGCGAGATGTCATCGTACCTCGTCATAGTTGAGTTGGGGTGTCGCAGGCTGGTATGATTGAACCAGGGGAATTTTCGATGCACTGAAACCTGAAAGCATGTCAGCGACATCGAGAGAGTAATGTAGTATATCGTACCTTGTCCGCGCCCGTCCGGATCAGTCATCTTGGAAGTTCGGTCTTGTGTACTATGATTGCAAGGGTAAACAGATAGCGCTAGCAGAGTGGGGTGGTATCGAGCAAAGGGCGAGCACTTGACTCTGTATATCCCCAGATGAGTTGGAGCCTAAACCACGGAGTGAATTTCGAGAGGCCGAAAGACTCCGTGGTGCCAAGCCTGCACCGTGACCTTGACGCCCTCGGAAGTGAGTAAAATTGCGCACGGCCCCGGGATAGTATGGTGTTGAGAACCTTCGGATGACGTTGGATTACACAAAACGCTGTACATGGAACGTGGTTACGTCCATGTCAAGGTGGCCAAGAACGTGAGTTCATGTCCTTTGTTGAGCGACAATAGTTGTGTCCTTTGTTTGAATACACGCCTTCCTCAGCTTTACAAGTTGCTTGGGCCTCCCAGGTCTCAGCCCGCAATGAGCATGCTAGTGCAGAATTATCAGTTGTTACTCACTCGGACAGATCGATGAATGGCGCAGGCGCAGATGTTATCCGAGCTTGCGCGTGCGAAATGGAGAGGAGCAGTCGCATCTGAGTATCCAAACCCTGCTGCGAGTGCAAGAGCCATCTAAGTCCAAGAGGCAGACGACGATCTGAGGAAGGTCTCCGCTGTCACATTGTCCAAGAAGCTGACTGGAGAGCTGCAGACAGCGCTCTGCCTGGGGGGGAGTTATCGTTCGATCTTTAACGAAGCTCGGGCGCTCCGCGGAAAATTCAGAGCTCAGGGTTTGGACGCAGCTTCCCTAGCACGATCGACAAAGTCCCAGTTAAAGCTGCCTTTGTTGACTTCCACAGCCAGAGATCTACGACAAGGACCTGCACTTGCATCTCCACGCTAACTGTCTGTCGTTCAACATTCCCCGATAATCGTGTTGACCTACCCTATACCATTACACCAATACATGTCAAGATGTCGCATGAACTGCCACATCCAGAGACGTCTTCCGAAAAGGCCTGCAAGCAATGGGCGACGACGGTGATTAACCAATCAAACTTTTGCAATCAACCCAAGGTTGTCGACATAGCTCTTCAACAAGATCAAGATCAGGTTAAGGCCTTGGTCTTTTCCAGACAGCTTGCAGCTAGCATACAGCGAGCGCTTTGTCTTGGGAGAAGCTTCCGAAAGTTCGAAAGCGAAGCTGAGGTTCATCGACAGCGATTTGAGACGCAGGGTCAGGATGCTGCTGGCATAGCTGAGTCCACGGACTTTCGGTTACAACTCAAAAAGAAAGAACTGGAACAAGCCGGGACTCCTAGCGACAGACAAGCGGAAGAATTGGATGATCTATGGCAACAGTTGATGCGAAGCCGAAACAACCAGGGAATCATCCTCAATAACAAAACAATGCTAGAAGACGAACTCAATGCAAAGCGAAATGCGTGGCGCGATGCTTGGCTGGTCGTTGACCGTATGCTAGATCCGGTGTTGATAGAATCGGGGTTTCTCAAGCCATATCCAGAGCAGAGGCAAGGAAATGCTGATACAAGGCGAGCAACGAAAAGACATCATGGGAATGGTAGATCCCAGATCAATGCTGCTGGTGTTGATCGTCAGAGTGATACAGCAGACCGACCGCAAAATCGGGCAAGAGTTGTGATGGACATATCTGGAAAGCAGCAGGCTGCCGAGATAGCGGAACTTCTATACAGAAAGTATCGGGATAACTTCGATGATGAGTTGGCAAAGGCTAGATCAAAGAGCGGAGACAATGTTGGACCAAGAGGGTCTGCATCCGTAGCAGCAGACGACGATAATGAAGCTAAAGCTCGCGATGACTTCCGCCAGGACATTTGGATTACAAAAGCGCAAGAGCTGGGCAGGGCGTGGAAACAAAAACAGGATGACCTGAAGTCCGCGCAACTACGTGCTGTCGAATTGCTCCCGGAACTTGAGAGCAACCTATCCATACGGTCCAGTTACTTTAATGTTACCGAGGATGGGTTTGGAGATCCGGAGAATCACCAAGGCTGAATCTGATGAAAGCTTGTCAAGGCTGGCGTCAAATCGCTGTAGTAGAGGGACTTGGGAGTGACGTAGGCCACTCTGTGACCAGCCCGAACAACATGAGGGATAGCATCTATAAATACTCGGTAAGGCCCCAGGACAGCGGTTCTCGAGGGATGATTGAGTACAGGGCAGCGCCCTATAGCAGGCGTGGTCAACAGTCTCCTCGTAACTCTGCAGAAGCGAGGAAAGCTAGACTGCCGGTCTGGCGTAGCGAGCTCAGACCCTCAGAGGTAGGCCTATCGCCACTTGAGGGCTTTCGACGTGCCGCGATGAGACAAAAGTCTACCACGAAAGGGATGGCACAGAGCAGCTTGCACTTGCGTCGAGAGGCCCCCCAGACCAACGTACGTGATCGCGACCACCATAGCTACCGCCAGTATAGTTCCTCAGCCAGCGAGCAAAGCTCACATCGAAATCGAGCTCCTCGAACCGCATCGTGTTCACGTAGGTCTGCTGAAGCATCGAGGCGGCATAGCCGTGCAAGAAGGGAGGATGTCGATACGCGTAGTAATAATCGGTCGAGCGATCAAGGAGCCAGTCGGTATACAGGCAGGTCCAATAGAGACAGTATTTGAGGACGCTCAAACGTGCCGCATGGAAAAGAACGCCAGCGGGATATCAGGAAGCATGCGGCGGCCGCAGCGAAAGAGCTTTTGCGTGGAAGTCGACCTCTGGGACGCGAAAGACGAACAGCGATGGAGATATTGGGGATGAGGTCGCGGCGACCATGAAGGTGGTACTGGTTTGCGGTCAGTTGGGACGGAATGACCTACGCGTGCCGTTCGAAACGGATCGGTGACATCATAGCAGTATCTTGAAATGATGTTTCGCAAGAAATGTGAGCCTGTTCGTGGTCTTCGCATATAGTGTGCTGCCGAGTAACTGTCGTGACGTTGCGCATTGTTGCTCACGGGAGACCAGGTGAGAGTGCGTTGGACCTTGAGACGCGTCGAGCGCTAGCGCGGCAGTAGGGCTGAGTCAGCAAGAGTCCCGCGTCACCACCTAGCACCGAAGCATCTTCATATCCTGAATGGAAGATTCCATAACTAAATGGGGCTATTGTGAGACTCTAGTTACAGCGAAAAAGCAACTAGCTTCGTCCTTTCTCTTTCTATAGCTCATCCTTTTCTTCCTTCCACCCATCGCCCACTCCTCGCATCCATTGGACTCCAACCAACTTCAATCCCTTCTTCTCCGCCAACTGCTCTGCTCTAAAACTTCTCCTTTCAACGAACTCCTCTCCTCCAACATCCGATTTCTCTACAGTCTCGCCTGCCTTCTCCTCAAATAGAAGAAAGAGGTACCGATGTGGCCCGCTCTCATCCTTCGGTCCAGGTGCCAAATACTGCGTGATCGTCTTTCCTCTCGCGGTGATGTCTTCTGGAGAGGTGGTCGCTGATGGAGATGGAATGGAAGTAACAACCCAGTGGCGCCAGTAGCCAAACTTTGGGTCGTCTGGTGTAGGCGCGTCGGGGTCGATCATCATGAATGTGAAACTCGCGGCGGAAGATGTCGGTGGAGACGAGATGCAAATGATAGGTTGCTCCTTGACCTGGCTCACACGAGCGAGGCTTCCATGTTCTGGAGTAAGTCCGGAGGAGAACTTGACGCTGAGGTCTAGGGCTGGTGTGAAAGACTCTGGGATGATGGCGGAAGGGAGTAGGTTGGCGCTTTTCAGCGATTCGACGAGAGCATTGGCGGCCATTGTGGTACTTGAAACTGCCAGAAGACGGGCGTGATGAATCGTAAGAAGATGATTGTGGTCAATCTAAGAGTCGATGCGCTGGTATAGGTGGTTTTGTTGCGCAGCCGTGATGGTCAAGATCTATTGGTGGATAAACCCAGCTCTCGCTTGGTTCTCCGCTTGAGGCTCCGCTCTTGCACTTGGCGACCTTATAGAGCATAGATTCGGGGTGTAATAGACGATAGCGAAGTCCGGTGACGCTAGCAAGGCCGTCTACGACCCGAAGCACGCGAACGGTTAGTTAGCTTTGTGAGCACCATGACAGGCTATCACGCAGATAGACATGTCTTGCGTTCTATTGGGCTGGGCCTTTGAACTTCCGGCTTCAGAGCTTCTAATGAAGCTCTGGACATGCCTGGAAGCAGCCGCTCCCCATAGATGCTATGAGACAAGCACTGTGATGTCTCTCATTCTGTCATGCACGGGTTGGATGCGAAGGAAAGAACATTCAGAAGGTCGGTACGTCGGGCCAGTATAGCGACTTCGTATGATACCTGGGTAGATTGAAGATGAGGAAACTTTTGCAGAAAGAAGCCAGACCCTATTGCTGATGAGTGTTGATGTACTGAGTTCGTGAGTATAGCGGGGTTCAAAGACGCGCCCTGTTCAATGCTGTGAGGCCAGTATCGATAAGAGAATGCGCTAACTGGATTCAGGCCTAGTCCCGCCCGCTTTCCTCCGAACCCGCGGGCGCGCGCAAGCAGACATCTCGCATCCCCGATCTTGCCTTCAATGATGGGAAACACCAACTCAGACACCTGTCATTCTTTGGCAGCATGCGAATCAGCTCGTCTTAATTCTCTGAATATTGCGTCAGCGAAACGAGACGGCGAAAGCGACGGTCGAGGCTGGGCCAGCATTCATAGCGGACACACTCCTATCTGGGTACTCGTTCGTATCAGAATATGCACCGTTGTCGACGAGGTATTGGTGAGAATCAGGGTCATATACTTTGTTGCTCTGGATAGCGTAGCTACCGGAGAATAAAAATAAGAAAAAACGTAGGAGTGATAACGCATCTTGATGACGAGCCGTAAAGCATCTTTCCCGTTCTGTACCAACTATCAAAGACTCTTGCTCAACTGGTTAACTGTTTCTACTCTACTGTTTCTCAAAGCTTGCTCTCTCGCGCCGCAAACGACTGTTGGCACGCGAAATGCAAAATAAAAAGGTTCCATCTCTGAGGATACAACTCCTTCATCCTGTCATACAATGCCTCAGCACTTGTTGTCCTGGCCAACTCCTTTTCAAATGTGTAAATGTACTCCCTAGTCGACTGGATCAAATATGGCGCATCTGCCTGTGAAGCTCTCTTGTGTCCTGCAACAACAATATGCGGATTCTTTGCCTCAATGAGATCGATAGCATCCAGCCACTCCTTACGTTTCTCTGGCGTGTTGGCCTCGCCAAAATGCTGGTGACAGTCGCCGTACACAATGTCGCCCGTAACGACAAGGTCGACTGCAGGGACGTGGAGAAAGCTGGAGAACTCATTGTCCGTGTGTCCGACTTCGACGCCATGCAGCTTCTCGCCGTCGATGAAGAACTCGCCTGAGGCAGGGAGGGCCTTCGGTATCGGCCTGGATTGATGTATCTGATTCGGAAAAAGATTTGGCCAAACATGGTCGAAGGTCGTGTTGTACAATTCTTGGATTCCGGCTACAACGTTTTGCGTGGCGACGAATTCAAGGTCCGGGAAGTGTTCTTGTAGTACTGGCACAGCCGCGAAGTGATCGGGATGTGCGTGGGTGGTATAAACATACTTGAGCTTCTTATTCGGAGCTGTCTCGCGAATCCATTTGGCGATCTCCTCGCCTTGCTGAACGGTGATGGGAGTATCGATGAGGGCGGCTGACTCGGGTCCGTGGACAAGTACACAGCTGATGGGTGACCAAGCTGCCCTTTCGTAATCAGGAAAGCCGGTTGTAGCTGGGATAACGGGGGCAATATAGATATCGACTTGAAGCTTGGTATTATCCATCTTGTGATTTGTATGCAATAATCTGGGAAATGTTGTGGTGAAGATATAGAATACTCCAGTTCAATGAGATCTTTATAGAGCAGCGCTTGTGTGGATGAGAGGATGATCGGTACCGGCGATGGTGTGAACTCTTGGTTGGTTACGAAGAATGATCAATACAGGTGTGGGGTGCGGGGAAGCTCAAACCTAGTTTACGTCCGTACGTATGCGCACCGAGGGATGCGGATAGGCCCATAGATATGTGTATACCCTGGCTTACGCCCGTATATATGCGCATCGGGGCATGCGGACCGACCCATAGATCTGTGTATACCCTAGCTTACGCCCGTAAATGCGTGGAAGTCTAATCGCAATACTAGGTAGACTTCCGGCTTGGCTATCGCCCCACACATTTGGTGAATAGTAATCAAAGTTTAAGGTTAATTGTCCTGTCGACTTGCCGTTAGCAATTGATTATGTGAACTTTATCAGTCCATGTGGAGATCTCTAACTCCGCAAAGGCTTGTTGTGAACTATGATGTGGATGCAACAACCAACACCCGGTGTTGAGAACACAACTTGCCGCATGTACTTTCCCGGCTCTGCAACCGTGTACTCACAGGTCATGTTTCCCGACATCTTTGGGTCGCAATAGGTCAATTAACGGAGTCTTATCAAAAAAGCCAAACGAGAAAGTAGTTTAACTGCACGGATGCAAGATGTACAGATCTCAAGCAATAGACAGAGTTCGCAAAGTATGCGTTTTTTTTTTTTTGGTTCCTGTAAGATTGGCAGAGCAGGAGGTCAAGCTGTATTGTTTTGCACACCCCTTCATCAGCCTACAATCCTTCGGGATATGGTACAGCACGATTTTCCTTGACCCAAACTTTCTCCTGCTCACTTCCGAACTTTGGCGGCACCAATCCATTGACCTTCCACAAACGCCGGTCCGTTTCATCCACGTGGAACTCCCAATCGTATCCCTTGTCAGCAACGTGAGGCTTCAAAGCCTGGTCAATTCGCCTGGCTGTTTTGTCCATCGCGATGTCGTCGTCTGGCAGGTTGACGGCAATGTGCTCGATGACGAATCGAATGAACGGCTTGTCCGTCTTCTGCTCCCCGCCTATCCACATATCCTGCGGACCCACTTTGATGAAGTTGACGACAACGTAAAAAGGAGGAAGGCCTATGTCCGTATAGATCTTGGTGATGTCTTGAGTGAGAGCTTTCCTCGCGGCCGTATCCTGGAAATGGCCTTCGGGGTAGAAGACGAGCCAGAGAGGCATTGTAGAGTGTGTAGTAGGTTGTTATGGTAAAATGGTAAGAACAGAGGTTGCGAGTTCAGTAAGTCGAGATGGATGCTTGAAAATCAATAGCTGATGCGATGGACGCCACAATATAAACAATCTCCATTCCTCCGTATCAAATGACAAGCAGTGTTGAATCTTATCCCCGCATCTGCAAGTTCAATCTAAGACTGTGATCCAGAAGAAATTCGGGCAAAGGGAAGATCCCACTAAAAAGTGGACTCCGCAGCCAGCCTGGTGATCAAGAAAGGCTGTTGAACTAAAAGCGTTTCACGGTTTGTGTGATCATCGGACTGAACCAAACAGGAGTCAATTTTGCCCATCGGGAAAAGACCGGAGCAGTAATGTTCCGAATTTTGTAAAGTTACGGCCTTTGTAAAGTTACGGCCGTATGAGATTGCCCGCACGTGCTCCGAAGTTAGTTACGTAGGTAAGCTTTGACGCAGACATCCGGAGGGTCGTAAGGGCGGAATCTGTGAAGCATTGTGATAGGACTTACCTAAGGTTGCATTAAAGTATGGATTACAAAGTAGCCTACATGTATGAGTAACCAAGATAGCTTGAGTGTAGTCTATAATATAAAGCATCCTAATGGCTCGATTCGCCTCTTCAACCACCTCAACCACCTCAAACTCATTACCCTCTTCCACAAACGTTTTTTCTCTGAATCTGGAGCATAGTCTTGCGATCATGTCCATCCAACCAGCTTCTTTCCAAACGCTGGACCAAACCACCCTGCGTGGCTTGTTCTATACCCCTAAAAACTACTCCGGGCAAAAGTTGCCATGCGTAGTCATTTCACATGGCTTCTCGGCCACGAAAGATCAGGGCCTAACAGCGGTCGCTGAATATCTTGTGGCGAACCTTCCCATCACCGCTTTGGTTTTCGACAATCGTGGATTTGGAGAGAGCGATCCTGGAGTAGGCAGACCCAGACTGGAAGTTGACGCACCGATCCAAATCAGTGATATTTCCGACGCCATTACTTACGCTCAGACCCGACCTGAGGTGGACCCTACCAAGATCGGGATTTGGGGCTCGTCGTTCAGCGGTGGTAATGTGCTTTGGGTTGCTGCGGTGGACCGAAGAGTGAAGGCCGTCGTTTCGCAGGCGCCGTTGGTGGAGGGATACTCTGCTTTTGCCAATTTGATCCGGTCAGATGACATCGCAGATTGGGAAGCAGATTTCCAGAAAGGTTCGTGTCGACCCAATCCTCTAACACATCTATTGAGTTTTGACTAATTTGATTATTCTAGATCGAATCGATCGTGCTGCTGGCAAACCACCTATGATGATTCCTGTTGTCGATCCAAATCGATTAAACCGATCGGCCATGACTACAAAAGATAGTAACGCGTCCATGGGAGGGCTTGAGGGCGTCGTTCCCCACTTCAAAAACCAAGTAACCTTGAGGAGGTTTGTTACGCACAGATCAACCTGGCAATGCCAGCGAAGATTCATTCAGCTAACTCGTGGTCAGCATGGAGAATCTTAGAGCGCATCCTGGAGCGGCCTGGATTCACCACATTTCTCCGACACCATTGCTCATGACTGTTGCAGATAACGATGTTGTGACGCCCACTGCGACTACATTAGAAGCATACCATCGTGCACTTGAGCCAAAGGAGCTGCATTTGTTCCGCGGTGGTCACTACGAAGCATACGCCACGCAACCCAACTTCGAGGAATGCGTCAAGCGACAGGCTGATTTCTTCAGGAGAAAGCTTTGCTCTTGACGATGCATTGGGTTTAATATGAAGCTTTTGGCTATCGGATTGAAGACAGACGTAGATTTAGCGGATTGCTCGCGCAGTCCTTACGAAGACAAAAAGATTCACTGCTTACAATGTGTCACTATACCCTATGCATCCTGAGAGAGATAGTTCTCTGAGTAATTTGCTTTCCCGCAACCTTGTATCCCAGGCAAGTGGGTAGAGGCACCTTCAGGCCCACGGGTCGAGCTCGTGCAGGGACTGAAACTGTTGATGCTAGCAGGCACAGATTAATCCTAGTTGTAGTCTCGTCATGTAAGCAAGCGCCATAAAAAAGGTGACTCTTGCGCGCTTCTTTCCTCGCGTAGACGCCTTGCTCGAAGTCGGCAGCGGAGCAGAAAGTGCTTTCTAACAACTTAGTAGGCGATAGTATAGAACTAAAGTCTAAGCTAGGTATAGCAACGTTGCTTAAAGTTGGAAGTGAAATAGAAGTTACTTCCTAACAACTCAGCAGGCGATAGTGCAGGACTAAAGTCTAAGCTAGGTGTGGCAGCGTTGCTTAAAGTCAGCAGCGGAGTAGAAGGTGCTTCCTAACGACTCGGCAGGGGATGGTGCAGGACTGAAGTCTGAGCTAGGTGTAGCAGCGTTGTTTAACGAGGCCCAGCGACTTCGCGTCGACAGAAACCACGTATCCGTCTTCCATGAAATTGCTGAACGCGAGCAGAACATCTCAAAACAAACTCTACAAACTACAAAAGATCTGCGTCGGCGGCAGCAGCAGCCTCCTGCCTAGCTCTCTGTTTTCGCTCTTCCACCTCCAGCATGAGCTGCAAGTACCTTCTTCTACCCTCAACCAAGCTCCATGCCCCTTCGGTCTTCAGGCGCTTTTGGGTCATGCGTGACATTTCGTCTTCCGCCCGAAGTGTCATGAGCATGTCCTCGGGTGTCTCAAACTCTTTATCATAACCGCCGAAATCCAGGAAGTCAAGGCGATCTTCAATTTCTTCGACACCCCGCTTCCGCCCGGCGACGCGTCGGGGCGTCATATCAGCATCGGAACTTTCAGCCTCCCGCCTCCTCGGAGGTTGAGGGCGCTCCCGTATCAGCCGATCATTTGCCTCTCTACGAGGACTCACCTGGCCGGTGCTCAGATAGGGCGGGCGGGACGGGTCATGTTGGCTGGCCTGGGCATTGGCTGGTGTACTAGGTCCACGCTCTGGTGATACCGCTGGGCTTTTGCTTACTCTCGTACGTCCACCAACTCGTCGTTGTTCGAATCCATCTTGTGGTATGGGAACTGGTGGCCTCATCCTCCTCAGCATGGAATGGAAAGGTGGATTCGGTAGTCCGTTGATCCTTCCTTCCAGGCTAGCGCCATGCAGTCCTATAGCCGGCATCTTGCCGATGACGTTGCTAGGCCCAAGAAAGGAAGCTGAGGGTACAGGAGTACGTTGGTGAATGTCCTCGATATCAGACGACTCATGAGATGGCGCCCGAAAGTCATCGGCCGGCTCGTCATCGTTGTTCAGAAAATGACGTCCTGCTCTCATCGCTTGCAACATCTCTGGAACGTACTCCGGGGTCTTCTCACCGCTTGAATCTCTGCCAGTCTCTTCATTCCGAACGTCTCCGTCTGGGGAGAAGCCATTGCCAATGTTGTACAGTCTATGAGCCTCTACCAGAGCGTGATGTGCGTCGTGCAAATCGCCTGGGCGGACGACTCCGATGCTATCGCCCCGGTCCTCATTCTTGGGCCGTCCAACACCTCTACGCTTGCTCCTCCTGTTCTTGATGGCGACCACGATCTCCCGTTGTATCTCCTCGACGTTGATAGCGACCTTGGTCATCGCGCTCAAGGCTGGGATATATACATGGAACCAGCGCTGTATGTCCTCTTTGTCTGGAGGCCTGATCTCGTCCGGCAAGATATCGATAGGCTTAGTACTCTAGGTTGTCTTGATGTGCTCTAATACACGTTACACACGCTCTAAACGCTTTATCTATAATATAAATATTTATATATTCTATTATCTAGCGTCTATCTAATATTTTATATCTTCTTTAGTATTATTATTTAAGCCTATATATTTTTTTATATCTTTACTTATATATTATATAAAGTAAGTATAGTATTTATTCTATTTTAGTATTTAATATTACTACTAAAGTAGTTCTAACGTATAAGTAGCTACTTTTTATAAGTAGGCTAGTATACTAAGTATTTTATCTAAGTTAATAGCTTATATACTATTACTTACTTATTTTAGATAAAAGTTTAGACTATTAGTATAAAGCCTATAATATTAGTATAACTTATAAAAGATATAGTAGTATTACTTACTTAATAAAGTATTTAAGAAGTAGCTATATATTCTTAAACTATATAACTCTTTAGTATATATACTTATATAAAGAAAATACTAAAAAGCTTATAAAATTACTAAATACTTAAGAGCTTATTCTTTATATAAAAAGAGAATAGTAATAATATTAAAAAAAATAAAAATAGTAATAGTAATAGTAGTATTATTTAAGTTTTATATAAAAGTAATAAGAGACTAAAGAAGTAAAAAGTATACTATCTTATATATTATATATAAGAGAGAAAGTAGAGTTGCAAAGATAAAGCTTTTATACTCTTCTTTAACTTATATATATACAAAAATTTTAAAATCTAGTCTTATCTTATTTTATAGTACTATAATAACTTATTAATAATAAGCTACTTATAACTCTTATAATATATATAAGATATATAATAACTAAATCTGCCTATTAAATATAGAAGGAATAAGAAAGAGGTTAATGTGCTCCAGCAACTCTTCCTTGTACGCGCCACGTAACACATCATCTCGTCGGTACCTGGCGCCGACGAGCTCCTCTTGCTGGGTCTGCGCAAGCACCGGTTGTACGTCTTCTGGTATCATCGAAAGTTGGGGGTCTATTGCGCTTCCCAACCGAACTTCTCCATTGTGGAAGATCTCTGCGAAGATGTTGTCATGATCGACCCTGTAGCGCGATATCTCCAACATGGTGCGGGCGATCGATCGAGCCGAAGCGGAATCATCATCCCACCTCATTGGCCATAGCTGCTGCGGATAGACTTGAGTCACGTCTTTGATATGCCAGTTCCGTGCGATCTCCCGTAGGTTTTCCAGCATGAGCTGGTGATCTTCATGGCCCGGTGACGCCATCCCGAGATGAAGGAAATCGAACGGTTATCGCGACGGCGCGGCCGGAGTGATCAACGAGTCCAGCGGTGGTAGCGGTTCTACGCATGTATGAGCTACCATTCCATCGAGCGATAGTGGGGCAGATTGACATACCTAAGGTTTGAGATGATGTGGCGTCGCCGGAGTCGGTAAAATCTACCGATATTGCTACCCTCCACGAGCGTAAGAGTATGATCGCAGAGGCCGTGAATAGATTTGTACGAATGTACGAGGTAGATGCGTCGGTGTCTTCCCTTAGCGAGCTCAAGATTGCGACAATAGTTGCGCGTCAACAATGCGGGGCACGACAAACAAAGCTTTGCGCGCGTGCAAAGTGAAAGGGGACTTTGACCAGAAGATAATGACCTTTCATGGAAGGAAATGCCGACTATACCTAATCGGGCCAGAGATACCAAAAGCTTAGCCATTTCCATCATGGCACTATTTTGGAACGACTTCGCGCCTCATACATCGATCTATCTACTGACTCTCAGCCTCGACTTGAGCACTCTCGGTCGTAGTAACTTGTCGCATCTTCCACAGCTTCAGCCGACGAGCCGCATAGAAGGCTCTACCACTCGCTATAAGCGAGGTCTCGGAGTTTTCATACCCACCGGGAAAGCGATCTCGTAGTTCATATCGTTTCGCGTGGATCTCGGCTATGTCAATGTCCAAAGGCAGCAACTGTATCTCTTCCTCTCTCGTCAAATGCTCGTCTTCCGGTTCGTAACCAAAGTTGTAGAAGCTGATGCGGTCTTCAATCTCGGACTGATTTTGTTCGAAAGTCTCATCGACTACCTTTTGCGGCTGAAGATGTCGACTTGAAGTCCGGCGCCGCTTTCTGCATCTAGGTTTGGCGCTTTTCCTCTCATTTGGCCAGCCGTTGCCTCTTGCTGGTACCCCTACGTCTTGGACGTCGTCATTCTTCCTGGTCCGCATGGCCCGTACCTCTCTCAAGTATCTCATATGCATCCTCTGGTATCTAGCAAGTATCTGGAGTCTCAAGGCACAGTAGTAGTCTTCCTGTGCTTTGTACAGCTGGTCTTTTCGAACGTGCAAAGCTTGCAAGTCGTCGAAAGATGCATCTTCGGGGTCGTCAGGGATGTTTTCCAACTCACAATGATCTCCATCGAGACCTGAGAATCTCTCATAGCTCGAAGGCGCTTTGTGTTCCGCGTCGTCGTCCGATTGGAGATACTCACCATGGCTTCTCATGGATTCACCTCTTTGGTCCGTCAATTTATGCCTGCCTTCCTCGGTACGTGCAGGTCGGCCATCTTGTCCCAGAGGCAAGTCCGAACAATCTGGTCGCCTGGTCGCCTCTTGGCCCCCAACTTCAAATAGATTCCTGTTGATGCCAACCTGTGTTTCGTAGGCTACACCGCTATTTTCTTTTTCCTCGGCTACCTGGATTCTCTTTGCCATCATTTCACCCTCTTTCCTGATCACTTCGTCCCTCCGTCTATCTTCATCCGTTCGGTTCTTGACCTCCTCCAACCTTCTGGCTGCCATACACTTTGTGAACCACAGATCCCTCGCATCGGGCTGCTCTCCAGTCTTCTTCATTGCTTGCATGTGAACCCGCAGGCAATCACGCGCCACAGGTAACAGCTTACCTTTCATCTCTTCAGAAAACATTGCGAGTGTTTTGACGAACTCCCAGTCTTGAAACGATTCGGGGCTTGGCGCTTTTACAGGAGGTACGAAGAAATCGGCGGGCGACGAGAGCCTCCAGTTCCTGCATATCCGTTCGCAATGAGAGGGGATCTCATGCAATCGATCAGCCCATTGAGGCGCCATCACGGAGCAGAGTAAAGACCAAAAATGCGGGACGTTGCGTGTGTCGAGAAGAGCAGGGCTTATCGGTAACATCTACCCTTAGTTCGCGATCGTGTTCGGTGAGGTAGCAATGCACATCTTGAGAGCTGAAAGAGAAGCAATTGAGCGAACAAAGCCTGCTGTTCACTCAAAGGCTAATGGACAAAGACAGTTGCCGTCTTCCCCGGTGCCCAGCTCATGTGAACATCGCACACGAAGGCGACCGACTCACATAAAACATTAGTGACATCTTTGAATAACAGTCGTTGCTACTGAGATGAGTCGTTCTACTAAACTACAAAAGACTACCCAGTGTCAAAATCCCACGATCTCGACATGACATCCAACTTTCTCATATAGTTCATACAGCCACCCATAAAGCTTCGCACATGACATGAGAGCCGTCAACCAGCTACATCGATCGCCTCTTTCGGCTTACGGACCTCCTTCTCGCATCACCATGTTCATTCACCCTGCGACTACTATTTCCTCACTCCCCCGACCCTCTCCTGTCCGCGGTTACTGCAGCATCGGCTTCATTCCTTTTCTTTAGCCGAGATTCTTCGACATCCGCCAAGAGCTGCGCAACCCTTGCTCTACCCTCTGCCAAAAGCTGGTTTTCTCTGGCGAGATGATATTTCTCCCTGTCGGCATAACACTCTTCTTGGACCCTGAAGCGCTTTGCATGCAACTTGGATATCTCAACATCTGCCCGGTACTTCATCAGTCTCTCTTCCGGCGTCTTGGGCTCTATTTGATCGTATCCGAAGTTCAGGAAGTCGATGCGGTCTCCGATGTCTTCGGCCTTTCGCTTACGCGTGGAGGTCGTGTGCGGAAACGGCTCTGCGTTGAACTTACGAGGCTCGTATGTGGTCGAACGGCGACGGTGATTTTGAGAGCGCGACGCGGATCGGAAGATATCTCGGTTACGCATACTCATCTCAGGGCTTAGCGTACGGTCCACCATACTTCCAGTCATTCTAGTATCTCCCGGTTTCGCTTGGTCTGAGTTTTGGCTTTCGCGAGCACGCTTAGTGTTCCGGTCTTCGCGAGCAATGAGTGTGTCGGCAGGGCGCTTCGGGGCCGGACGTAGAGGCAGGTCCAACATAGAGTGTAAGTGCTTCGGGATACCGCTGAACACGTCCAGGCGAGCGCCTTGTAGTTGACAAGTCTCGTCATCAATGATCGTCGGAGCGTAATACAGCGCGCGTTGACGAGAATGTGCAAGTGCGGTGTTCTCGCTATCGGCATCGGTGTTCATACTGTGATATCTGGGCAGGTCTGCAGAGGTTGAACGCGGTCGGTGACTGCGAATGGAAAGTGTGCGCGTACCCAAGCGCTCCAGGGCTAGTTCCGAGCCAGTGCAGTTGAGTGTTCGTGATTTGGGTATGTTTAGATTGAAAGAAAACTGATGAACATGGTGCTTCATTACTAATGACAATGCATGAGCTTCTGGAAGGTTGATCGAATCTGCCCGCTAACAAACGAAGCTCACCCTTCGCACTTGAAATTGAGAGAAAGGAAACATTACATGTGCTGTAGCGATCAAAATCGTCGCCGACTACCCCTTGTCTCCCTCTCGTGACCTCTGGTTCCCCTACCTCTTCCTTCATCGTCTCTGTTGTACCTAGTTCTTTCTTCGCCAGCGACGCGCTCCCTGATCTCGATCATCTTTTTCTCATACAATTGCACTCTCGCCATGTAGCGAGCTAGCATCTTCCGTCTCACGGCTTCATAGTATTCCCCCTGTGCACCAAGCAGTTGCGTTGCCTCGTCCCGTAGTCCAAGCTGCTCATCGAACGTGGCACCGGGTGGCTCGGCACCAAAGTTGGGCGTCTCGATGGCGACTTCATTGAAGTGATCAGTGTTTGCGCCGCGATAGGCTGGCTGCTCGACCGGACGACTTCGCTGCAACGAAGCATGCACTGGTGGCCTGGATCGCCTATTGACGCTTGGTGCACGTCTCTCACGATCGCGTGGTCGAGGTCGGCTCCTACTTCGCTGCCGGTAACGACTTGGTGATCTACCTACGGGGCTTCTGAAACGACTGCGCCGCCTATCACCACTACCCTCCCTCTCTCTCCTTCGTAAATTGTCCTCATATCTCCACTCATAAGTTTCCTTCTCCTTATTCCACCTATCTTCATCGCGTCTCCGACTTTCCGCAGATGCCTTATATCTCTCCAAAACCTCCGGCTCCATGTTCCTTACAACATAATCCCGCGCCTCTTCAACATCCCCAGCTGTAATATCTTCAGTTCGCCTACGTCGACCATGTCCTCCACGGCGAGTGGCTCTGGAAACTGCATTGCGTGCCGTATCCACAGAGGAGGTTGCTTTGGCTAATGAGAACAAGGCGAAGCGGAGCCACGGGTCTGCATTCCTGTGTCTTGGCAGCGGTGGCAGTGGTGGCGCGAAGAAATCTTCCGAGCGGTTCAGGCCCCAGGTACGACATATGTAATCGTGCATTGAGGACATGGGTCCAAAGGGCCCATATGAGTACTCGCTTTGGATCTCAGACTTGTCGATATTCCGGTTCATCCAATTCGTCACATCGGGGTCCTGCGGTGACGGGATGCTGAGCACCTGACGAACTCCGGAATCCATCTGTACCCATCCACTTAGGTACTTTCGAAAAAGAGATGTATCGTCAACACAAGAGCTTGTTGGCGCTGAGGTGGATCGATGATGTGTAAGATATGTATCTAGTCCGACGCGAACGTGCGAGAAGTCTGCTCCATTTAGTGGATTGGAAGCGCGGTGTGACTATTGAGAGGGAAGCACAAGATGAAAGGAAGTCGAGCTTTCTATCCTGAGACAAAGACGCATAGCAAACCATTAGACCCACTTAAACAAAGCCACAACCATAGTACTGCGATAACGCAAAGCGAAATAAGCTACTTACAACTTCCGCAACATTAAAGACCTAGACAAAAAGATATTCTTACAAACGAGAGAAATCGTAAGTATAATATACAAAGCTACATCCTTTACAGCCAGGATCAGCGAACCGCGGTTTTCGATAACTGTACCACACGTTACATTATCCATGCGGACTTATGGAACCCCCTACATCCATATGATATTCTGTTGAAGGGGATTTTGAGAGCTGGTGACATTGCAGTATTACCACCCCGCTTTCTTCCCTCCCCTCCCCTGGGTCCTCCGTTCTTTATTGACCCTACAAGTCAAAACATCCCTCTCATACTTAAGCACCCTCTTCCTATAACTCGCCACAAGCTTTCGCCCCACAGATCTCTCATACGCCTCTCTAATCCTATAAAGTTCTATCTCGCCCTCAATAAACTTCATCTCTTCATCTTTCGATACATCCTTCGGCCATTCAGGAAATGGCGGCCACGTGATATCTTGTACGAAGACCTCGTCCATGGGGGTGCAGCTTCTTTCTCGTCGCTGTGGTGGTTGGTGTGCCTTCCGTTCATGATCGCTTTCATCAAACCTTGATCGCAAAGGTCGTCGTGAGGTTTGTGCGGGAGAAGGACTGGGTGATGATTCATGCGGAGAAGGCTCTAGGTGTCTCGTGTAATGACTCCGTGGATGATGCCTCGGAAGCGGTGACGGTAAGCTCGGAGGATACGGGCCTTGCGGTGGTGAGCTCACCGGCAATGATCCCAGTAGGCTATTGCTAGAAACCGATGACATCGATGACGACGGACATCTTACTTTCCGCGGCCGTGTCTCGCTGCCGTTCATCCTCCTCTGCCCTTCCCTCTGAAAAGCGATACGCTTCCTGGCTTCTTCCAGACCTCCCCAAGCACCTGGAGCGTGTTTTGGCGGAGTGGGAGGATGACCCCTCGAGTCCCATTTGTTCGTGCCACTCCAGCTTCTCTTCCCCTCCTTCTGCTTCGCTAATAACTTTCTAACCTCAACTAACCGCTCAGTCGCACTTTGATTAGTTTTCGAGGGAGGAAGAAACGGGTATCCCGCAGGGTATGGTGGGTTGCCTGGCATTGAGCGTGCGATTTCTCCAGCGGTTCTCTCTTCGATGTTTGCCAGAGGGTAGAAATCTGTTGTTTTGAGGAGCATGTAGATGAAGGGGAGGCCATGGGCTGGTGATGGTGTTTGGTGGGCGTGACGATGGTTTGCGGTGTTGAAGGTAGTATTTGCGGGCGCGGTGGTGGTGAAAGAAGATGGCGTTGTAAGATGGTGGACAAAGACGACAATGGGTTGACAAAGGAGGTTGATGGGGTTGAAGGCATGGAAATGGCCACGCTTGGTATGGGAGGGTGTTGTCGATATCTAGTCGTTCTTTCATGTCGCGCTTGATACTTGAATCCAACGCTAAGGTGTGTCGTCGATGGATGCGGGAGCCAGTATTCATTTTCGTTGCTGCCGGGCTATGTTCGCTCGATGCAGATCTTGAACAACAAGCGCGAACCGCCTAATCTGTTCCATATGTTGCCGATAATACAATCTTTCTGCTCTTTCTATCGCCTTGTCCTCCCGAATTTGCTCGCGTCTGATACGGCGATATAGTCTATCCAGGTCGCAGACAGTCACACACAACAGCCGATTCTGCCTTCCTTGGTGTCTAGAGTATACAACGTCGCGCATCTGCTCTTGGATGTAGTCCTTCATTCTTGCATTGGTAAGCAGTACGAGACGCTCTAGTCGGATTTGGAAGAGTCGAGACCATTTGTTCGCACGATGCTCGCCGTGGGGATGGAGGTCGTATGGAATGGCGTAACTTGCGTCGTAGAGTTTCCAGATGCTATTGATGTTTCGCAAAATGGCGGTGCCTGCTCCTGGGAGTGTTAGGCGTGAGGTAAGAGGACGTGCCATTGTGAGTTGAGATGGGGGTTGAAGCGTAGCGACGAGTTGAAGTCCTGGATTGTATAGCCAACGGGATCCGCTTGCATGGTGTAGACACCTTATGTAGAATCGTAGGCGTACATGTGAAGGTTGGCAAACATGAGTTACATTGGATCAAAACCTCGTATACTTTGGTTCTGCAGAGAAAGTGAGTGGTACTCACATTTTAGGCCTATAGCAAGTAGCACCATTCCAATTTCCTTACACGTCCTCCACAACAACGAGCCAACCACACCTCCCGCAATTCATACGACTCGTACGCGAGGAAATGCTCTACGAAAGAGAGAATTATCGTATCCCCAAGAACCTCTGGCACCGTGGAAAGAGACTGAATGTGAGTGGTCGCTCGAAGTCGGTAACGACCCGGATGCTACTGGGGGCGTCCTGCCAACAACCATACCGCGGCCACCTGGATGCGACAGGCAGCCACTCAGACTTCGAAGTCTAGAGGATACATCAGTAGAAGGCTCAGAAGACTCGCCGGTAGGGTCTTCGTGTTCGAGCAGCTTCCCACGACTGGAAGACATCGGCGTTGATCTGGTACAACCAGCCGACAGCGAGCACTTTCCGTTGCGCGCGACCGGCGAGACCATGACATCGCTCCCACCTATCACACAGAAACAACGACCTAGCCTTGCGTTGCTGCGGAAGAAACAGCTAGAGGCAGACATGCATCGCCTGCCAGCCCTCGAGAACGACCACAGGCGGCGGACGTCGAACACCTCATCCTCGCGACCCACCACTCGCGCCTCGCTCTCGCACCTCGAATGCGCGTCGCAAAAACCTCGCCTTCGCAGTCGTACACAGCCGCCTCCCACCCATCCCCCCCTCAAATCGCCCCAATAATACTCCCCAGCCCCCCAATCCTCCTCGCCCACCTCGTCATCGTATCCACCGCATCCTTCCTCAGCTCCATCGTCGGCGCCGCAAAAGCCACCGCCATAACGGGTGCAATACTCCTCAGTAGGTCAAACCCCGGTGTTTGGGCCTGTTCGATCTCTGCTGCCGCCTCAATGATATCCGTTGTGGCTTTCATGGCCACGTCGAAGTAATGCTGGGTGCTATGCTCGTAGGGTTCTATGGGGGCTGTGGATTCTGTGTGCATTTTGTACATGAGCATGCTTAGGACTAGGCGGTCGGCCATGTAGTTTGAGGCTATTAGTGCTATGAAGGTATTAGGTGAACTTGTAGTATTCGAAGTCGATCCTTGCCTGGGGTTAGGTAGGGGCAGTTTCGACGTACCCCTCTCAACCGGTGTCCCGCGCGGGCTCCTGGATAAGTTCGTCAGGTGCGGGTAGGCTGCAGCCCAGTCATCGAGTTGCCGGATCAATTTGCACGCGAGTTCTTTACAAGGTCGAACGTCGACGTGCGGGGGTATTGGCGTGGAGAAGAGGACGCGCATAGACCCCGGTATCTCGAGCATGGCGAAGCAGTGGGGGACCATAAGTTCGATGTCTGCGAGGGTTTGGTGTGCGTCTCGTGGTTTGCCGATGAAGGGGAGGGTCATCCAGTCTGGGGAGGCGTAGACGGATTTGCGGTTGAAGACTACGGATTTGTGCGCCTGGGGGTGTTAGTGGAGTGGCTAGGTATCGATAGTGGTGTCCTTGGTCTTACATCGGAGCTGCGGATGCCCTTGAACAACGGCCAAATGGCGCCTGACCCGCAGTTACTCGGCCCACGCATATTCATGATTTCAGCTGCAGCTGCGATATGAGACATCGCACCCGTTGCAGTCGCCCCTACATATAGTTCGTACAACGACATGATAAGCGGCACTAAAACCTCTTCCTCATCAGGAATAGCATCATTCTTCAGCCTCGCTATAGACGTCCTCTGCGCACTCAACGCCACGGTGTACCATCTCCAAGAGTCAATCAAAATACTAGGATCATGATGGTGCTTCCCGAAAAAAGCCATGGAGACTGCGCGAAGAGACAGTCGAACCGCTGGCTTCCTTGCGTTGCTGTGAATCTGGTTTATATGCCCCAGCCATTGGATTTCCGGTGCGTACTGACTTCCGCCTTTGTTGAGCTCAATGTAGTGAGATAGGAACGCGGTATCTAGAGCTTCTGGTAAGACTCGTGAAGGTTGGTTTAGCATGGGTGGTCTGTACTGATAGCGGATTGCTACGATGGCTTGCTCTATTTTTTCGTTGTCTCTGCTTTCGGATGGCAACGATGGGTATGGCGAAGACGAAGGCTGGCCAATTGGTGTTGATGTGCTTGCGGCTTCGTTTTGGGCTAGGATAGTACGTGGAATTGCTGGTGGCTGGCCATCGTCTGTTGAATCCTTTCCGCGGACTGCTAGCGCAGCTCTTGTTGTCTCTTTCTTCTTTCGACCTCTGGGCTTGGCTACTCGCTCTGTCATGTCGATGACGATGGAGCCCTGAAGTGCTCCAGAGCAAGCCAGGCCGAGACGCCGACATTGTTGGCATTCAACTGGAGTTTCGTCGCACTACACCACAGATCAGTCTTCAGTCCCTCAATCGCAGATTCCAGGTAAAAAGACCTTAACACGTCTAGAACGACACTGAGCACAAGCTCTACTGCGCTGCGATTTGGGAGGCATTTCGTCAACCTAAGTATATAGGCCGGGCTGTTTCTGCACGGGAAGTGAAAGAGGGAACTCGCGCGAGGTAGACGAGGGAGGGATACAGGGGTAACGGTAGTCTGGGAACTTCATGCGGCGCAGTCTCATTCGTTCGTGCTGATTGGGTGGCAGTATAAGGTTTCGGAAGATACCTCTAGCAGAGTGGGGAAAGCGCGAGGTACCGCGTGAATTTCCGCAGCGAGTCTAGCACGTGCTGTAAGGGTCCGGCGTGCATTGGAGCGGGTAGATATGCCGACTATCGTTATTAGTATCAGGATTTTGAGTGTCGTGTTTACTTTGATGTGAAGAATGTGGTAAAATGTGTGAATGGAAAGGGGACGTCGTAGTCTATGCTTTCTGTTGCCATGGCCTTTACACACCAAAGACTGATTATAAGCATCTCGTGGTATAGGGTCGCTTATCGTCGTATTTTGCCATCATAGGCATCGTATTCATGTCAAGAACTCGGGACCTGCTCTTGAAGACGCGACATAACTTCATTTAGTCAACATCTGCACAAAGGGTATCATACACCACCATCCCCATCCCCATCCCATCCCATCCCATCCACCACCTACCCCCTCCCCAACTCAACAATATCCCTCATCTCCATCACCCAAACCCCCTCCTCCCTCTTCCCCTCCACACACCTCACCCCCGCCTCCACCGCCGCCCTCGCAATCATCCCCGCATCCTGCGCCCACCAATCCGTCATCTTGGGCGTCAGCCCCCTCAGCCCCTTCGCCAGACTCCTCAACGCCGCCTCCGCAGGCCGCGACTCATTCCTCTCCCCCACAATCAGACCGGGGCGTACAATAACCGTGTGTTTGAACCCCAGCCCCTTGACCGCCTCCTCCAACTCGCCCTTCATCTTCGGGTACGCAAAGTAGCCAGTGGGATTCGCGCCGTTGGACGAGATGAGGACGTATGTGTCCACGCCGGATTCTTTGGCGCTCTTGGCGAGATCTAAGTTTAGTTCAAAGTCGATTTTTCGTTGCGCGTCGAAGCCGCCGACTTGGGCGCGGGTTGTGCCTAGGGCGCTGAAGAAGACGCGTGGGGAAGAGGACGAGGGGAATTGGGCGGGCCAGGTGGACGAGTCGGGCGAGGTGATGGGTTGTAGCTTTGTGGAGCCGGCTGGGTTGGGGAGGTCGCGGCGCGTGTAGGCGTGGATGGCGGAGAAGGAGGGGTGGGCGAGGAGCGTGGTGAGGATGTTGGAGCCCTGGGGTGTGTGTTAGGAGTGCGTGATGGGGTTCTCTGGGGGCTGTGAGGGACGTACGACGAGGCCTGTGCTGCCTGCGAGTACTGCTGCTGCCATTTTGCTATTATGATCGTGGTCTGTTTAGCAGTAAAACGAGCTTCTCAGCATGAAATTTGGGCGCGTGGTGTTGTCAGTCAAAAGTTTCGCCGCGTCTGTAGGTGCGGAAATTCGTCCGCGACCCTGATAAGCCAGGCCGACCGAGGTGCGTCATCCCGATAGCTGTCTCTCGCAGCTCCATCCTGGAAACCGCGACTCCCATGTGAAAGCCGACAATCGCATAGCAAGACGAACACAAACAACCATTACAAAAGCCTCGTCTACTCCTTGTGAGGATAGCATCATGCATACACATTGCTTTTTCGTGTCACACCACAATCGTATCACCTGACTCAAGCCGTCGGCACCCGCCGACCCTGCCCCAACCGAACTCACACCACCCTCTCACCACCGTCATCACATCCAAAGTTTCGCACCAGCCCAGACCAATGACAGCGTCCGGGAACAAGCGACTGCTTTCCACAGTGCTCAGTCCTGTTGCCCGATGCGGTCGTATGCTTCTGGGTGTTAATTAATTTTGGCGTGCCTGGCTTGTCCGACATGTCAGGCCAGCCGTTCGGGTTGCGGCGTAGGGCTGAGGGGGATGGAGGGCTCACGCCATGGTTTGGTGGTGCGATGGCGGGTTGGTGAGGGTGATGAGGATAGGAGGTTTGGGGTGTGGGTTGGATAAATAGGATGGTGGATGCGAGGTATGGTGGCTATTCACAAACAACTACTACTGTTACTACTGCAACTACAACTACTGCGATCAACAGTCTACTTCATACACTTCATACATCTTTCCACTCAGCAAAAGACGCAAACACCAAGTTTGTTTACACAATACTACGACAACATCACTTCCATCACAAATCCATTTCAACCAACCTTCACACAACCATGCCATCACCAACCCAAGCCCGCCTCCTCTGGCGCACTCTCTCCCGCAGCATGGTAGAGCCCCACCCATTCGCCCGTAACCCCATAACCATGACACCTCATGCATGGCGAGCTGGTGATCTCTCAAGAAAACTGGTAAAAACGAGTGCTGTGTAAGTCCCTACATTTCTTCTCCGACTATCCTTCTCGTTAGGAACATGTCGCTAACAGTCATTTAGTTACTTCCCCTTCTACGCAGTTATCTTCGGCTGGCCAGTCGCGGCGTCGTGGTGGTTTAACGGGAATATGTGACTCGAGATTGCGGGGAGAGAGGGGGAGGGAGAGAGGAGTGAGACGGAGAAGGCGGTAGGGGAGATGAAGGGGTTGAGTAGTAAGGAAGTTGAATGTTTGATATTGAATATGCGGTGGGATGATTGATTTGTATACGCATTGGAATGGAGTTTGGGTCGCGGACACATCGCGCTTTTGTTTGTTGGAAAAAATCCAAGAATGTTGCTTTTATCATCTTCAGACCCCCTACTTTATTGAATTGTCACGACAGATCTATGTATCGCTTCCACGCAACATCAAGATCTTCCACCCACCCCCCTACAAATCCAACACAACCCTCCCAACCCCCCTACTAACACAACTCAACATAGCCCCCGCCTCCATCTCCTCCTCCATCAACCCCGTCCCCCGATGTTCCACCCTCCCCCCACAAACATCCACCCTACACGTCCCGCAATTCCCCACCTCACACGAACTATCAATCTCCATACCCACAGCCCTCAGCGCATCAAGCAGCGACTCCGTAGCACGCACGTCCACCGTCTTGCCGCTTTGTTTAAGCTCCGCGGTGAAGGGGTCGCCAGATGTAGCTACCGTAAACGCTTCGATGTGCACAGAGGACTCGGGGATATTGTAGGATTTCGCGGTTGTGACGACGGCGTCCATGAGGCGAGGGGGGCCGCAGGTGTAGATGTGGGTTTGGAGATCGGCTTTTGATAGGATGGTGGGGAGGTTCAGGCGTTGGCCGAGCGATTTGTTGTAGATTGTTGCTTTGGGGCCTAGTGCGGCGATTTGAGAAGCAAAGGGTATCTCTTCTGCGACGGCGTAGTGGAGATGGAAGTCTTGGTTCGTTTCTTGGAGGTAGGTGAAGGCTGTCATGAAGGCTGTTATGCCGATGCCGCCTGCGATGATGATGTGTTGGTCTGCGGTTTTCGCGAGGGGGAAGCTTGCTGTGATGCGGCCGACGGTGAGGATGTCGCCGACTTTGGTCTGCGAGTGGAGGTATTTGGAGCCGCCGCGACTGCTTGGGTCTAGAGCGACACCGAGCTCGAAACGTTGTGAGGTACCGCCAACGACGGAGTAGGCGCGTACTAGCTTGCCTCCTAGCTTTAGTCGTACGTGGCTACCTGGCTCGACGGGCGCCGGCTCTGGGATGTCTTCAATGGATTCGAAGATCAAGGCTGTAACACTGCTCGTCTCCCTTCGCTTCTCGACAAGGCGGTATTCATTCCAAGTATCCATCTTCTCGTCCTCGCCACCAAACAATCTGCTATTATGGTCTTCGACAACACCTCTGTCTAGACGTTTCTGGAATTTCCCTTTGATGTCCCATCCCAGCTGAGGCAGCTGCACAATCTGCTTCATCATCTCGACGTTGTTTGTTTCGATAAAAAGGTAGTACATAACCCTGGCGACCGTCCACTCTGGATGCGGTCGCTCGAGTAGGGAGATCATGTCGCCGGCGGTGATGGTGCCGGTTTTGATGATACGGTACATCCACCCCGTACGTAGCAGCGTCTGTGTGCGCTTCGCCATATCCTTGACCTCGAAGCGATGGTTGAGCTTGTAGCAAGGTCCGCGTGGCTCGCTAACCTCGACAACGATGTCACCGATGGCCAGTCGATCTCCAATGCACAAGTTCATCTCGCTGACTTCGGTGTTGAATAGGTTCTCACCGAACGCACCGGGTTTGAAATGGTGTTCCGAGGCGGGTAACTCTTTCTTCCACTCATCGTAATGCGATGTGCAGTAGTGGAGGAGCGCTTTGTCTGGGCCGCCGTGCAGATGGAATGCATGTTCATCAGTCGGAATACCAAGCTCGGTGATCTCGACTGGACCCGTCAGCGGTCCTTTGTAGATGGCAGACTCGATCTTTCCATTTCCAAGCGACTTTTTGACTTTGCCGGCGCGTAGTTGGATGAGCGGGAAGGGCTTGAAAGGCGCTGGGTTGACCAGTGTGTCGGGGTTTGGGGGTGGCGGCGGTATCCACGTCGAGACAGGCATACTTGGGATTGTATCTGGGATCGGTTGAGGAAGTAGAAACAGACCAGTTGGCGGAGCTGTAATCCTTCGATCTCTACAAGCGTTTCTTTATCTAAAGCGTAAAGACCTGGTGCTCCGTGCGCCAGGTCGAGTCAAAGTGAATGGACAATGGGGGCGTCGATCGCGAGCGTGCAATGAAGAGAAAGGTTGGTCTACTTCTTACAGTAACTCTTAAGATATTCGGGCAGACATCAGGCGTGCGGCCACAGCCTGCGGAACAGCTTGGGATGAGTCTAGACTTATTGTAAGCTATGCCAGACGCGGAAGGCGCATGAGACGATTGTGACTCTGCAAAAGCAGTCGATGAGTGAAGACAGCTAGACGCACAACTTGGTAAGCATGCAAGAGTCATGTCTGATGCGCGTCAGAGCATCGTGACCGGCCTGACCAGGAGACCACAGTATGTCATTCGATTCCTGGTGTTCTGTAGATTTGACACTTCTGAGTTGTCTCCATATTCGATCCCATATGTAGAGTCTGGCGAGATGTTGCCTGTTGAACGAAAAGCTTGTACCAAACAAGCCTGGAGACGCCTAGCTACAGGCAACGAGGAACGGCGGAGGTCGGAGATGAGCGCGACTCCCCGAGCCGGGCTTGAACGCGTCGACTCGCTCGGACATACAAGTCATACGTCAAGTCAAAGACCAAATCTACGGCATTGGACATGTCGTGATGTAGATAAGTGGCCGAATTGTGGTTCAGACGATAGGCGCGTCGCATGTCACGTGGTTAGCGGCCTCGGCTGCAGTTTGGTGCAACTGACGTCAATGTGAGGGTCCGTGGACAAGCTCCGAGCTACAGCATCAAGTCGTCACCGCGATCTCAAGATACTCGATTGCTTCTGACCCCGCAACTACTCGACTTGCCAAACCTCAAACTCAAAAACTCCAATTTACTCATTCGGAAACCAAGACCCGTCGCCCATCGCAACCTCACCATGTTCCGTATCCAACCCGCACGCGCCGTACAACGCGCAACATTCTCTCGCGCAGCCATCGTTCGCCCTCGCTTCCTCAGCACAACACCAGCACGCTTCGCTCAAAAAGATGCGCAAGACAAAGACTCGCTGAAGCCTCGATCGACCGAGTACGCCAAGTCTGGCTCCGACGATGGCGCCGCACACTCGGACGCTGCTTTCGACCCCAAACAGACTAGCCCAGAGGAGGCAGAGGCGACCGCTGAGAAGGAGGCTGGAGGCCCACAGAACAGCTTGAACGCCAGCCCGGGCAACAAGAAGGTCAGCGAACCCAACAGCCCAGACGTTGGCGGCAATGGCGGCGCGCCGGACAAGAAGAGCAGCGGTGGAGGCAGCGCGCCTAAGAACAGCACAGCATAGATGCAGATACCACGCGGACAAACTATAGTCATGATGAGGGGATGTCAAAGGCAGAGACATCAGGTAGCTATCGAGGGTAATCCAGGGCGTACAGGGAGCATCACATCACAGCATCATAGCATTGGGAGTCGCATCTCAGGCATCCAACTGTATATACCCCACAACCGAAAGAAAAAAAATGCCAATTTCAAAGCCACGACCATCAGTGACGTGCCCATGCTGCAGCTCCACCGGATGCGGCATCTGCGTGGAGCAACCTCAGTCTTGCACCCATGCAATGACGTCACACCCAATGACGCTGCCCACAAGAACGCGGCAGCAACATCCGTCTTTGCACAACAAAACATCTTCACACCTCTTCAATCCTCCTATTGCACCTCTAAAACCTCACATACCCCCCACCTCAAACCTCAACCTCTCAAACCACAAACTCCCAAACCCATCAAAATGGCACCCCGCGCCCTCTACACAGCAACCCGCGCCCTGCGCACTTCCACCTCCACCCCCATCTCCACCTCGCGCACACCTATCACCACTCTCACGTCTTTCACCACGCGCCGCACCTTCAAGACTACACCCTCCCTGCGCATCAAAGAAGACGCAGCGCGCACCCCCGAACAAGTCGAAGCCGCGAAACAAGAACAGCTCAAGGAGCAGGAAAAGGGCGAGGGCAGATGGCGCGAGGACCTTGCTAGTCATGGCGAGAGCAACATTGCGGCGGATAGGCAGCAGGTTGGTGATCATGAGGAGCATATGAAGGAACTGCAGCGGGAGGGGAAGGAGAAGGGGGAGAAGGGGGAGATGTAGGGATGGATGGATGGATGGAAGGAAGGTTGGTTGTGAATGTTGAAGAGGGGTGGAAGGCGGTGGTTGAGTATATATATGGATTGAATCAAGCGGATACTCAATGGACGAAATGAAACTCAAGAAAAGGAAGCAGTAGCATGTTGAAGCCACCCACATCCCCCGTCAAACCCATCCCTACCCCCTCAAAAGTTCACAACACTAGCCTCCAGCACCCCCTCCTCCCCAATCAACGCCTTAAGCACATCCTCCCCAACCATCTTATCAACCCCCAAAATCATCAACGCCTCATTACTCCCCTCCCTTCCTCCTTCCACCCCATTCCTATTCCCATCCCCACCACCACTCCCTCCATCCCTCCCATGCATCCCCCCCTCAACCTCCCCATCCAACGGCGCCACATTCATAAACTCAATATTCACCCCCGCCTTCCCCAGCAAATTCCCCACATACCCAATCTTACCCACACTGTCAAAGTTGCGACAGATGAGCAGAGTGCCGCGAGGCACGAATTCGCCTTTGAATTTGTCGAGGCGGGATATGAAGGGTTTGTTGCCGGAGACGAAGCCTTGGATGATTTGGTCGGAGGAGGAGGAAGAAGAAGAGGGGGAGGAGGTGGTGGTGGTGTTTTGGAGGGCCCGCGCGGCGGAGGGAGATGCGTTACGCGAATGGGGTTGTTGGGATACGGAGCGTGAGGCGCGGGCGCGCAAGGTGATGAAAGAGGAGTAGGGTTTGTCTTCTACGTTTTCGCGGGAGCGCTGTTCGTTTATGAGGATGCCGCGGTCTTTGGCTAGTAATTCAGCGTTGACGATGTTGATGTTTAGGCCGTCGCTGGAGGTGATGGGCGTGAGAAGTCCCTTAACCAACGCCGCGAAGAGGGGTTTCGTGGTGTTGATCGTAGCGAGCTTGCCTTCGTAGATGAGATCGAAGGTTGTGCGAAAAGAACCGGTTTTCGCGGAGGAGTAGTGTTGGGTGTAGAGGCTGCCCATTTTCTCGACGAGGCTGATGAAAGGTTGGAGGGTGCGGTATTCGTCTGGCAAGACGATGGGTGCGTTGACGGCTGAGCGGGGGAGATCGCCGCTGAGGATTGAGACGACTTGTTCGCAGACGTCGATGGACACGTTTTCTTGGGCTTCTTTGGTCGAGGCGCCGAGGTGGGGGGTTGCTACGACTTTTGGGTGGGCGATTAGGCGGGATGCTGATGAGTTTTGTTCGGGTGGTTCGGAGGTGAATACGTCGATACCTGCTCCAGCGATGACACCAGCGTCTAGAGCTTCCACGAGAGCGTCTTCGTCGATCATGCCGCCGCGTGCTACGTTGAGGATGCGGGCCGTTGGCTTCATTGTCTCTAGTTCGGCCTTGCCGATCATGCCTTTAGTCGAGGCGATCAAGGGAGTATGTAGGGTCAGGAAGTCGGCCTCTTTCAGTATCTCAGCTAGGCTTGGGCGGAGGGTTACTGATGCCGCTGCAGCCAAGTTCGGGTTTGCATAAGGGTCGTAGGCTATCAGACGCATGCCCAGACCATTAGCAATACGAGCAACTGTGAGACCGACTAGGCAAATGTTAGCCAGCTCTTGTAAATGTCAAGCATCAAACTCACCTTTGCCCAGGCCGACAATGGCTAGAGTCTTGCCTTTTGCCTCCACACCCACCAGCCGACTTCGCTCCCATTTCCCAGCTTTGATACTTTGCGATGCATCTCCAATATTGCGAGCCACAGCCATCATCACTGTCACATGTTAGTCAATGTAAGAATGATCCTGCTTGGGCTACCTACGCGCAATGGTGTGTTCCGCCGCAGCATTGATGTTTCCAGAAGGTGAGTTCACCACAATGATACCGTGTGAAGTGGCCGACTGAACATCTACATTGTCAACACCAACACCGGCACGTGCAACGACTTTCATATTCTTGGCGGCACCCAGAAGCTCGGCTGTCACCTTCGTCTCCGACCGTACGATGAGGGCGTCATATCCGCCGATGATTTCCTTGAGCTCTTCTGGACTTAGTCCTTTCTTTTCGTCTACATCGAATTGGTCTTTGAGTAATGCCAGTCCATCTGGCGAGACCTTCTCTGGTATCAAAATCTTCCGTCTCGCTGTGTGCATGAGGATAGCCATGTTGCCGGGTATTGGTATGTGATGTTCTTGCGGACACTTGGTAGACTTGAGTAACCAGGTATAAAAGAGTTTCAGTGAGTTGATCAAGAGTATGTGTCGGTTGTGGCGTTGACTGTGAGTTTACGTGAGACTGTATGAGATGTAAGCGCAAAGCCTACAGGAGGAGTACACTCCATTTTGTACACCCAGAGTAAGACTGCGCCGCTATCGGTCTACTGCAGTAGCATGCGTCAGAGGGATGTCTTTGCGGTAGCCTTACCTGTTGGCTAGGTTTACCCCGCACTCCTTCTACCCCACGGGGTGAGCGCCGCTGCTGCAGGGTCAATTTGGCGAAGTACCTAGGTATCGAACAACGCTCTCAGAACTTTGCATAGACGATGTTAACAATATTCATGAGAGAAACCGTTGAAAGAAAACCGGTGTAATGTAGAACGTGTTTCATTATTCAGCTGTTGCTGTAGTACCGCGAGCGCTCGCGTCCGTCATGGTACTATACTGTGCATATGTTGCGCAGCGTGGGTAGCCACATATGGTGTGATCTTCAGCAATTGGAGGCTGAATTGCTGTAGAGTGGGATATGCACATCACGCGGGTAGTCGGCGCAGCCCGTTTACCAATTGCTACGTGTCTTGAGCTTCTCGTTCTGCACTACCTCGATCCAGTAACCATCGGGATCTGCGTATTCTGTCAGTTGTCGCTTCGTGCGATGGATAGATAACGACTCACCTAGTACGAAAGCGATGTTCTTCATGCGACCGTCAGTAAGCCTCTTCTTCCAGTTGACCTTCTTCTCTTCGAACCGAGCACAGGCGGCGTCGAGATCGTCGACAGCAATGCAGATGTGGCCGAATCCTTGGGGCTCATCGTTGCCGTTGTGGTACTTGAAGTTTGCGTCGTTCTCGGTTCCGTAGTTATAGGTCAGCTCAAGCAGGCCTTCGGTGTTTGCCACCGGGTTGACGCCGTTTGCGGTGTTTTCGGATGCATCGGGGCCATATCCGAGGAAGTAGAGGTTGAACTTAGCGCTTTCATTCTCAGAGGTGCGCTTAAGTTTCATGCCCATGATGTCTTGGTAGAAGTTGAGTGAGGCCTCCTTGTCCTTGACACGGATCATGGTGTGGTTCTGCAATCATCAGTATACCAACGTGATGTCTTCCTAACGCTACTTACCATGCGGTACGAGCCTGTATCGGTGTCCTTGACGTTCTCGGTCTCCTCCAGTGGCTTTTGACCAATGACCTCCACCCAGTAGCCATCAGGGTCGAGCACAAACGCAATGTGGCGCATGCGACCGTCTGTGAGCTTCTTCTGGAACTTGTAACCCGCATCTTCTAGCCTCTGACAAGCTGCCTGCAGGTTGTCCACGGAGATGCAGAGGTGGCCAAAGCCTTTGTGTGGTTCCGTGTTGCCATTGCTGATCTTGTAGTTTGGATCGTCTTCGGTGCCGTAGTTGTGCGTCAACTCGACAATTCCCTCGCGGTCGGTCCAGTGGTTGCCGTGCGAGGCGGCCTTCGGGCTATCGTACGCGAGGAAGTAAAGGTCGAACTTGGCGTCGGGGTTCTTGATCTGGTTGATCTGCTTCATTCCAAGGAACTCATAGAACTGGACAGATCGCTTCGGATCCTTGATCCGGATCCTAGCAGACGTGAGTGACTAGCCAATGGTATGGGGATGACGCAGTAAATGCCATGCGGGTACTCACATGGAGTGGTTGAGCTTGTACTTGGATGGGTCGGTCGCCATGGTTGCTAGCGTTCGAATAAGGAGGCTTGGTGTATTGTTTGATTTGAGAGGACGAAATGCAGATGATGCGACAACTTGTAATGTTCTTGGTATTGCGAGACGCGTGAAAAGCATTGATTGAGCTCTCTAGCAGTGTCGCAGCGCAATTGAGGGGAAACAGATTCTAAGGCCGATGACGTCTGCGATCCAATGAAGAGCTGCCAATTGCCCCTCACCCGGCATTTGCTCGGAGATCAGCCCGGTGGGTTACAAACATCTCGAATGCGTGCGAACGACGAATCGTCCTATGACGTCGATGTCAAACATGAGCACTATCTACCCAGATGTAGAGATGTCACCAGGTCGATATATCGTTGTAAGGCGCGTGTCATCCAAGAACATCGTCGTGTCGCGTGCGCGCGGGCCCATCCCTTCGGATCACACTACACCCGTGACCCGGCGCAAGTATGTACCCTTCGTCTGAGTCCCGTTGTGGTGTGTAGATACACAAAACCTGGGTAGCATCTCCAAGCAATGCATAGTGCTAGGCTGCAACAATACAAGCTCTTCATAGCATGAGCGCGAGAGCACGTGCGGCGGAAAACAAGGCTCCGGCCAGCCCAGGTGGTCATAGCTCTCTCTCCTGGGGAACTTCGTCTTGAACATCGTCATGATCAAGATACTGACACGCGCAACTTCTCCCTCGTGATCCCGTCCGTTCCTTCTCGTGTTTTAACGCGTTCCTTACTGTTGCGACGCGTCGCTGGCCGTTGTATCTGCCTTTGGTCTGAGAGAAGGCGCAGATCGGTGAATTAGCAGCACGACAGCGCGGAAGTGGTTGCGCCAACCATAGACCAGGTACGTGGGAATTCTTTCACATCACCGTCATCCAAATCACATCCATTCTTTGCAGCGCATGGTACTCGCTACCTGCTCACACGTCGCTGAAAGCTTCCCACGCACAGTCCATTGTTCATTTTTAGTCCTTAACACCTACAGCTTCCCCGTCTAATCATGTCTGCAGATCCCGCAATGATCAACATCGCTAAAGTGAGCGACTGGCTCACGCAGAATGCAAACGAACACATCTACCCAAGACTCTTGTAGGTTCCAAGTACCAAACAATGTTATTCCAACTAACTTCAGTAGCTTGATGTCTCCAAATGGCACACTATTAGCGTACTCAAAGCCTGTCCAGACCAAGGAGCTTCGCGATCAGGCTGCCCTAATATCTATGACATGGAAAGACAACTGCCAAGGACGTCAAAAGCCATCGACCCGCAATGGAGCCACCCAGGACCAGTCGCTGCAACCCGCACTTAGGACACTCACCATCGAGACTCCGGATTGTAATATCATAGTACGCCTATTGCAACCAGAGCTACTGCTCGTTCTCATCGGTAGAATCGCCCCCGGCAAGAAGCAGGGCTTCAAGATCTCGGCCGAAGGACAGGGAGACCCACGATACCCAGAGGCCGACGACCCAGTTTCACGTCCTAGTTCAAGCAACGAACAGCATTTGACCATCAAAGGGAAAGCACCCTCATTACTTAGCAACATGAGCCAGCGCGATAGGGATCTCAGGAGCGGCGCGCTTCACGTCCAGCGGAAAAGATTAGACGCCCTGGCTGAGTACGTCTTGCAAGACTTCGGCGACACTGGGTTTGTCATGCCCGCAGATGCAGACCTTCAGTAGTACGATGATGCGGCTCGGGACGGGGATACGTTACCCCTGCCTCACTCTACAGATACCGAATCTGGGGAGACTGATGGTGACGAAGTACTGCACAAGAGATCGCTGGCTTGGTTCAGTTCGCTGACCGCGCTAGTATGAGCTCATTGCGTTCCCAGGAAGGAAGCGGACTGTAATAGCAACCTCTCCACGGCCATGTGCTACATTATAGCCAATGATCCTGCAGCCTACTGGCTACATGGGTTTGGCCAGTGCTCCGTACAGCCCGCACGCGAACCAGTAGCCATCAGCCTGCTTTGCTGGTAGATGGATCGCACCGAGTCTGTTTCGCTCGCATGGTTGACAAGATTCTCTGCGAGGTGCGGCACTGCGCAGACTCATGTTGTGAAGAGAAAGAGTTTGTGAACGATTCAGGATCGTGCGGACTGCCAAGGCGTAATAACTGGAAGAGAGAAGGAAGCATAGGAAACAGCCGTCGTGTATGCGTTGCATTTTTGGATACCCAGGAGTCGAATTTGACTTTGTTTGCTGTTCACATGGATCTCAGGTGACATTCTCTCGGACTATGATAGCTAATTGTCCGGGCACGCGTTGCCCGATATGACAGAACGACTCGGTCCCCAAAATATCCCTGTCAGCAGCGATATACCATGGGGTACAACAGTACGTCCACCCATGCTGCACGTCTTGACAAACACGTCCTCAAAGCCAACCTTGGATGCGAGGTGTAGCAGATACAGACTCTCAAAACCTGTGTGTGGATTCTTATCTAACAATGTGATACAACTGGCGAAGGGCCACGGGTCCTGGAGACGCTGGACGGCCGCCACAAAGACCAGCCTCAGCTTGATGCACATTCCATCATACCGGCAACGGCTTCGGAACACCCCTCTTAACACCAGGCTCGCCCAGACCCGGAATAACCAAAGGAGCCCTCCTCTCCATCGGCGTCCTACCAATAGGGAAGAACTTAGTAATCGTGTGATCAGGCCCATATGCCTCCTCGACGAGATACACCGTCACTCTCCACCAAGCGCAGAGGGCGGACAGCATCCAAAAGTAGCTCGCAGCTTTCATCCCCATCGTTACTCCGCCAGTGAGGCTGTCGCCCGACGCGCTAGTATCCGCCGTGGTGACGGGACGACCGTTGTACGCGAACATGCAACAAGCGATCGTACTGCCGATGGCCAGGGAGAAGAGACAGACGCTGAGGACAACATCGCGTGCTGTCGCTGCGAGCGCGCCTGACCAGGTGAAGACACAAAGTATCACGAACCACGATGCGAGTTCGGGGAAGTGCGTGTGCACTTCATGTGGTTCCAACGCACCAGCCGCCTGTCATTACCGTCGTTAGCCCACCATCCCCTACCCTGTTCTTAAACCCCCAATAAACCATCAACACTTACAACAAAAGCATACAAAACCCCAATACTAATCCAAAAACTTCCCCACATGGTATTTATCACCGTCACCAACGTATCCCTCGCTTTGAACCCATACAGCCCCGCGATGAACTGCGCCAGTCCGCCGAAGAGTCCTACGAATGGGAAGAAGATGGTTGGGGATTCGGCGTTGCCCCACCAGTTTGCGATGTAGGATGAGGTTATCCATGTTGAGCCTGCGAAGCCGGCGAGACCGAGGGCGGCGGGCGGGGCGATGGGTTGGAGGAAGATTTGGATGCCGGGGGTTTGTTGGAGGGTTTCGTCGACTTTTTTGGGGGAGGAGGCGGCGTGGAGTGCCATTTTTGGGGGGTTTGTTGTGCAGTGCTTGGGAGGGGAATGTGGGTGGTGGAATAGTCACAGTGCGCGAGGATATTTCAAGTCATGAATAAGGATGGGATTGGGGTGTGGGAAAAGTGCGACAAGTGATCAAATACCTACTTTCTCTTCGAATAGTCGGCGAACTTATTGCTGTGATGCAATCGTACAGTTAGTGTGGACTGGAGATAGGATCGTGATGTTCCGTTGTTACGATGTTATGACGATAAGCGCGACACGGTAAAGCGCTCCGCGTGCTGATCATGAACATCGCGACTTATCCGCGTCGGCACCTCACTTCCGTATCAACATCTTGACATCATTGCGATACAGGGAAGTCATCTTCATTCGTCGGGTTTGCGTGACATATGGGTCATGAGACCTGCAAGGGACAGTGGAGATCGTGATGAGTGGGCAGATCAGGGATCGCTTGTGGTCATTGCTAGATTCGGGAGTTCGCGACGAGGTGGAGCGGTGATGCTTGGACATGCTTATCTTTTAGTTGCATGCGTTTGGTCAAGCTAGCAATGCAGTCAGGAGTAAGAGAACACTTAAGAAGTCATGATCGTCGCTAATAATTACATCGCCGGGAAGGACATCTAAAACTCGCTTGCAACTATGAAGAACGTCGCGAAACAATTGTCACGAGTCGTAGCAAACGGGTTGGAGCCTCTCACACAGCATAGTAGATAGCGGTTACACAAGTCGCGTTAGTGAATTACCGGGTTCCAAAAAGCTCAACTTAGATACTCGATTCAAGAAATATGACGGAACGCGCGCAGTGATTTTAACATGCCCAATCGTGTTCCCAAAGTGATCCAACTCCTCAAGTCAGATCACCGTCTTCATCGTCATCAGTTACAGCATTCGTGTCCTCTTCGTCACCCGAACAGTCGTCGGTAGTAATCCACGATTCATCGTCGCTATCTTTCTCCTCTTCGCATTCGTAGTCGGCATCCTTTTCTCGCGCCTCTGCAATCCGAGTTTCGCAATCTGAACCGTCTGGATCAACTGGAAATGCCCCTGGTATGCGAATAGCGTCAGAATCTTCGTAGTGTTCATCCTCCGACGTGGCATATTCTGCGGGTACAATGCTATCGAGGAGACCCTGGAAAGCAGCCTCTTCGACCTCCCGGGACATCTTAGCCTTTGGCAAATACTTGTTGCAGCGTCTATCTTCGAAGTGGTACCAGTAGTCTTCCAGTGAGTCCTCGTCCATTGGAAGGCCTTCTATACATGCTTTTTCCAGAGTTTGCATAGTCTTCAAATCGCCATAACTGGCCACGAAATGTATGATCGAGTGATGTGAATTCGTCCAACCGTTGAGCCGAGCGCCATGCTGTATGAGTATCTCGAGTGCGGCGTGGTTGTTATACTGCGCAGCGCATATGACTGCAGTCTTGCCGAGAGGATTTCGGGCCTCGATATTGGCGCCTGCAGACAGCAGATGCTCCAGAACTTCGGGTGCAGAAGTAGAAGCCGCAATTGTGAGAGCGGGATGCCCACTCTGAGCTCCATCCACATCAGCTCCAGCTTTTAGTAAGATGTCCGTCATCGAGACCCGTGAACTAGACACTGCTACTCCGAGGGCCGTGAATGTGTGTTGAATGACCTGGTTAACGTCTGCGCCGGCTTCCAATATCTTGATGCAAATAGAACGCGAACTAAACTTTGATCTGACGGCATTCCACAAGATGGTCTTATGATCTTTTGAGACGGCGTTTAGATCCGCGCCAGCTGCTACTAACAAATCAATCGCCTCGGCGTTTCCCAGAATAACAGCCCAGTGTAGCGGGGTCTTGCCCAAAGTGTCTCGAGCTAGCGCAGCGCTTGGCTGAATTCGAAGAAGGTCACTCAAGCTGACAATACGTTCTTCCAGTATTAATCTTGTAGCGGGAGCAAGATCGAGAGTATCTCTAGCGTCCACGACATCGGGTCGATTTCGGAAAAGCTCGCACAATTGGCCGTTCAGATTTTTTGCGCTGAAGATTTGAGCAGGGGTACTAAGTCTATAAGCTTTTGTAGTCAATTGGTCTCACAAGACTGACAGGCCATCAACAGGCGACGGATAATTAATGTCCGCTCCCTGGTCCAGCAGCATGGTGTATGTAGGCTCTCCCACGGTACAGTCAATAGCAAGCTTCCGAAATTAGCCCACAATGCGACAAACGCTAATCAAATACTTACAGTGAGAAGAGAGATAGGCTCGCGCTCGAGCTCGCTCAAAAACAGATCGATGCCCCTTATCCTATGTTGCTCCATGACTTGCTGAACCTCAGTGGCCGTACCATAAAACAGGGCATCTGTCAAATTCGTATACACGTTGTCGTCGGTGCAAATCCGTGGTATTTTAAAACTCCAGGTCCCCCCTACGCCAATCAATGACTGCCAAGATGCAGCGACTTCGATACCTATTGGCAGTAGCCAAGTAGGGAAAAAGTATCGAAAATGCAATGCTCCTGTCCCGTTGGACTCTTGGAAGCAGTGGCCGTAGTTGCATGGCCGGCGATTAAGTGAAGGCACTGAAGTGAATTTGTAGAACGCGACGCCTAACAATCCCCGCAGCCATCTCGGTGAAGTGCCCTGGAATGGCATATGGCAGTCGCAAGGACATGACGATCTGCAAGTCCGATTCGTCGTTCTGTTGATAGTTTCGATCTTGACATAGGAAGTGACATCTTTCTGCTTGCCGACCATGGCGTTGTCTATACTTGATAGGATTGTGTTCATGCAAGCGGCTTTCTCCATGGTATGAGGTAGATCGAGCCTGTTGTCGTTTGTCATGGATTCTGTAGATGTATCTCCCCCGTGAACGATGGTTACATCCTGGATGACGGTATAAAGCCTGCTAGCGGATTTCCTGTATGCGCAAAGTCAGCTACTTGGCCTAGCGACATTGTCTGATTTAAAGCTTTCTAGCGAAACCGGCCTGTGACCGGCAACGGCTAGCCTTAACTCACAGATTTGTCGCACTCATCGCCAACACAAAGCTCAGTTTCAATGAAGCCAGCTCCTGCTGGAATGCGTTAATCTGACATTGCGTTTGGCCTCCTCCCAACACTTCCGTCCACTTCATACGTCTCTTCAACTCCATGGCCTTACCAACACAGGCAACTTGTTCTCGGTCACGCAGGACATGTTTCTGTAGGTACTTCGTGAAGGCGTTCATACAGCCCATTGCTCGATCCAACAGTCTTGTGTATTCGACCCGATGGTCGAGCGGAAGTTGGTGCTGGGTCTCCTCTAATGTCGTCTGTACCAAAGTGAGAGTAGCCTTGAAGTCCGAGACTTCGTTGATCGCTCCAAGTACGTAGAGAGAAATGCCGCGCAGGCCCAATACTCGCTCTAGGACCGAGGTGGCATGGCTGGCTGCGCTGATGAGGGTGATTATGCTGGCCACTAGGCCTATGGCTTCCATTGCGAGTTTGCGAATGCAAAAATATCAATGCAAGGTCTTCGTCCCGTCCTAGTGAACTCGATAGAAGCAAAGCAGCAGGTAATGAAGAGGCCATGATGGAGGCGCAGTGCTGTGGCCTATAGTTATCCAGTGTTATGTGTACGACGCCGAGTGTGTACAAGAGGTATACACAGCTCGCATACGGTCAAATCAATAATGCGATAGGTTGCACCACTCCCTGCATACGGTCTGGCATTGGATCCGTATGCATGCGTCCGGTTCGTGCATCTAGTCGTTCATGCTCAGCCTTGTGTAGTGTCACCAAGACCCGCGAGCATGCCGTAGTCAACAAGTCCAGTGTCGCGCCGGCAACCTTGCCAGGTGTTACGCGACAATGCATTGCGCGAAGGACAGTGGAAGACGAGATGAGACGGTGTTGTTGATCAGATCTCCGAGGGCCGTGATTTCCCCGCTGTCACGTGCTGAGACTCTTGGCGTGTCGAGCACGCAATTCGCGCTAGGGCCAAATTCTCGTCGCGTCAAGGCGACATTCCGCGCATTTGCAATCTATCGCCCGAAAGACGTGCTAGAGCATCTGGACAGGGCCAATCATGGTGTCTGTGAAGGATTGCGTCTTGCTCGGTCGGTCTTCTGCCGATGTCGCTACTGGACGACGGCACTTTTTGGCTGCTATGAGGCGGCAAACCCACGACACGGATATACTCCCACGCTGAAGCCTCCGGAGTGTCGTAGCACCTCCCATTCTCTCATACTCTCCGAAGAGACTCTCGCTGCCTTTCCTGAAAGGCTGAGTTGCTGAGGCGCATACTTGTATTCAAGATGCATTTCCAACAGACCGAATCTGCCGGCCCTGGTGCTGAGCAGAACGCACCCAAGGACTTCTCCAAGAAGTCGTCCAGTCTGCCGTTTGGTCAGGACCTCTCCTACCAATCTATCGGTGGCCCCACCTACCTCACGGCCCAAACTCTCGTACAGCAGGTCGCATACGCCCTCTCGGACAAGATCTTCGCATACTCGGCTGAGTCGTTCGACTTGGACGTCGCAGTCAAGTACTGGCAAGAACAGGGCGAGAAGAATGCTTTCGGATACCAGACCGGCGTCTCTTCCCTGGAGACGAGGACCGGTGCTGGTGCCATCGCATTGGGTTACATGTTCTCCAAGGATTACGACTTGAAGAAACGCCATATCCCCCAGTCCATCGTCGCCTCCTCTTCTACCCTGAACTACCTCCGCGCTTCGCTCGACCAGCTATCCGCCCTCTACTCGGTCGCGAACCCATTGACCGCGCACATCGCCGCAGTCGACTACTCCGCCAACTCCAGCGCTGGCCTCGTCACCGACTATGTCTCCTCCCTCGCACTCGCCGAAGATCTAGGTCTTGGACTCGTCTGCAGCCCCTCTGTCTTTGAGGCTCAGCACATGTCCCTTTTCGCCACCCTCCTCTCGAGCGTCCTCCCCACGATCCACACATACGATGGCATTAGCGTTGGAAGGGAAACAGCCAGGCTGGTCGATACTCTCGACCAGACCAGGCTGCACAACAGCTACGAGGCGGTGCTTAAGGCCGTCTCGGAGGTTGACAAGAAGCACTCCGACACCGCTGGTCGCGTTCTGCGCCTGCTTCAAGCCTTCAACGATGAGCTTGGCGAGGACTACAAGCTCTTCGACTACTACGGTCACGAGCAGCCGGAGAGCGTACTTGTTGTCTTTGGTACCGTAGAGGCTTCCTTGACCGCTCAGGTCGCCAATGCCTTGTCCAAGGATGGCGACAAGGTCGGTGTCGTCAACGTTCGTGTCTACCGACCGTTCGTTGAGGAGGCTTTCCTTGAGGTACTCCCTAAGAGCACTCGTCGCATTGCCGTTCTTGGTCAGGTCAAGGACGAGGCTGCCGTGCTCGACCCCGCGGAGTACTCCAGGCTCTACTCGGACGTTTTGGCGTCTATCCAGTTCGCCTACGACAGGGACGTTGAGGTCACTGATGTCAAGTACTCGCGCGAGCAAGTCTGGACGCCTAGCAACTTCCTCGATGCTTTCCGTCAAATCCACGCCGAGAAGGAGGGTGCTGAGGTCCGCTCCTACGTCGACATCCTAAACACTGCCGATGTCAAGCAGTACAGCTTCTGGAACCTCGACGAATCATCTGCAGCCAATGCCCCAGTTGTAGTTGGCAAGCTTCTCTCAAGTGACTCTTCCAAGAACGTCTTCGTTCGCAATGGCCACGACAATCTCGTGCAGGGTGGTGTTACTCGTACCGACATCCGTAATGCCGACTACACCATCGAAGCGCCTTATGCTGTTGAGCAAGCCGATGTCGCTTTCGTTGGCGACATTGCTATCCTGAAGGAGTTTGACGTCCTGAACAGCGTCAAGCCTGACAGCTCTATCATCGTCAAGCTGCCCGGTGTGAAGAACGAGGACATTGAGAAGAAGCTCTCGCCTGCTTTCCGCAAGGCCCTCGTGGACAAGGACATTCAACTCTTCGTCCTTGACCCTGCTTCATCTGAGGCTGTCGCCGATGATGACTCTCTGGAGTCTTACCTCACCCAGCTCGCCTTCTTGAAGGTTGCCCGTGAGGACTTGCTCTCCTCTGGCCTGAGCAAGCTTGTTGCTATCAACGGTAGCTCAGAAGTCTTCGACAAGCTCACGCAGCAGCTCGAGAGCGCTCTTCGTGAAGTCGAAGTTCCTGCTGCTTGGGGCACTGTTGAGGAGGACGTTGAGCCCATTCGCCTCCCCTCAGACATCAACGTCAACAGCTTTGCTCCCTTCGACCGCATTGAGGCTGAGCCACCAACCCTGCTAAAAGACTGGCAAGTCGCGGCCAAGGGCTTTGCCTTCAAGGAGGCCTTCGGCACTGCGAACCAAGTTCGTCCTGATCTTGGCTTCAAGACCAGTATCGTCCATGTCAAGGAGCGTCGCCGCCTCACACCGCAGAATTACGACCGTAACATCTTCCACATCGAGTTCGATCTCGGTAACTCTGGTGTCACTTACGCCATAGGTGAGGCTCTCGGCATCCACGCAGAGAACGACGAGGCACAGGTTGAAGAGTTCATCAAGTGGTATGGTCTCAACCCCAATGAGATCGTCGAGGTTCCGTCTCGTGACGACCCCAACGTTCTGGTCAACCGCACCGTCTACCAGTCCCTCATGCAAAACGTCGACATCTTCGGTCGCCCACCCAAGCGCTTCTACGAATCGCTTGCTGAGTTCGCTGATGATGAGCGTGAGAAGCGCGAGCTTTTGCAGCTTCTGAGTGCTGAGGGTGCCACTGAGTTCAAGCGCCGTGCTGAGGTTGACACTGTCACCTACGCTGACATTCTTCTTGAGTTCCCGTCTGCCCACCCAAGCTTCCACGACATTGTTCGCATTGTCAACCCCATGAAGCGCCGCGAGTACTCCATCGCCTCTGCACAGCACGTGACCCCCAACTCCGTTTCTCTGCTTATCGTCACCGTCAACTGGGTCGACCCCAAGGGCCGCGACCGCTTCGGTCAGGCAACTCGCTACCTCAACAGCCTGAAGGTTGGCGCGCCTGTCACCGTGTCCGTCAAGCCATCTGTCATGAAGCTTCCTCCCAAGACTACCGCACCCATCATCATGGCCGGTCTTGGAACTGGTCTCGCGCCTTTCCGTGCCTTTGTGCAGGAGCGCGCCTACCAGAAACAGCAGGGTCACGAAATTGGTGAAGTCCTGCTTTACATGGGCGCTCGTCACCAGCGTGAGGAGTACCTCTACGGCGAGGAGTGGGAGGCATACCAAGATGCTGGTATCATCACCCTCCTTGGCCGCGCCTTCTCTCGTGACCAGCCTCAGAAGATTTACATTCAGGACCGCATGAGAGAGTCTCTGAAGGACATCCGTAGGGCGTACCTCGAGAAGGAGGGTAGCTTCTACCTGTGTGGACCCACATGGCCTGTACCTGATGTCACCGAGGTGCTTCAGGAGGCTGTCGAAGTCGAGCACAAGGTTAAGAATGTTGGCGCCAAGAAGATTGATGGACGCAAGGAGATTGACAAGTTGAAGGATGATGGACGTTACGTACTTGAGGTCTACTAGGACACACGATGATATGAGATAGATCCATGATATTCCATTATTACTGCACAGCCTAGTGCTGATTACCGCAAACTATCTCGCCATGCATCAAACATTGTTCGTAATATTTCGGGGCCTTTGAGCCTCCCCGTTATGTTAGAAAGGAGTGAAGCTGTTGTTTACTGACCAACGCAGTGCGTTCCATTCAAGCGGAACCAAAGCTAGTTCCAGAAGTATCTCCGCCAAACTCTACTTCTTCGTCATGCTCGCCTTCAACTGACGAAGACGGGCAAGCTTTAGCTCTGCCGTAGCGACGGCCATCGCCGCACTGACGCTTTCTTCATCTTGCGCCATCTCAACGTCCTCTACCATGGCTCCTTCGTGATCGAAAACTCCTGGTTCGCCAACATTTTCAGCCTGCTCGCCATCAAGGCCGGGTGACTCTCGCTTGATCGTGGGGGTGTCGCGACCTGCGCGCGCAGGATTTGGGTTACCGGGTGGATGGGCCATTGGTGGTGGTTGGCGAGAGAAAGGCGGGAATGGAGATGGATGAGATGGTTGGCGGCCTTGGTTCGGAAACGGGGGTTGGCCGTACGGTGGATAGCCGTAGCCGTTGAAGCCTGGGTAACCACCATAACCACTGAACCCACCACCCTGCGGAGGCATCGTCATCGGACGACCCCACGGGTCAAGGGGAGGCTGGCCGTACCAGCCACCATACACACCAGGCGGCGGAGGTTGAGGGGGTGGCGGCGACTCCTCCTTGACGGCTTCTTTCTTGGGTGTCTTGTGCTTCTTGCCGCGAAGAGTTGATGAAGGGGACTGGTGGTGACCACCCATGACCCGGTGACCGTCTGAAGCACCTCCGCCGAACTTCCGCTTCCCATCGTCATCCGACTCCGAATCAGACCCCCCAGAACTGTCCTGACCACCACCACTACCCTCCTCCCCATCCTCCTCCTCCTCACTAACTTTCATAATCCTATCCACATCCTCCTCAGTCTGGATCTCCTTGGCCTTAACAAGCAAATGCTTATACCAGACCCCAAACGCATACTCCACCTCCCAGTCTTTGACCAACATATCCTCCATGACATCAAAGTCCGTGCTGCAAAGCTGTGGCTTCCGGTTCCCGGTGTTCTTGACCCGGTAGCGGACCACTTCGTTCATGGTAGCCGCAAGCCACTTTCGGTTCTTGGTGAGCTTGGCGACCATGAGGATGGATTTGAGGACCAAGGGAAGCCATTTCATGGGGTCGTTCTCGTGGGCGCGGTTGTAGTTTCGTTTGGAGCCGTTTTTGTACTGTGGGGTGTTGGTGGGTGGGAAGTAGGAGGGTGGTGTGTGGGTACTTACTAGGGGGCGGTGGCATTTGGGGATGTGGGTCTTGACCCAGTTCTTGCCCCAGTAGCTTTCGATGCTTTTGATCACGGCTTTTTTGGCGACCAGGTCGTTCTTCAGGATGGGTCGTGGTCTAGTGGGTAGGGGACTGGGTTTCTCGGCAGTCTCTTTGGGGGACTTCTTTGGTGACGGCTTGGTGGGCTTGCGCGCTGACGAGCGGAGATTGTGGCGCTGACGTGTGGAGGCGATGGGTTCATCGTCTTCTGATGAATCGGGGATCGTCTGGACTTTGGTGGGCTGGCGCTTCACGGGCGTCACCTCTTTGACGTCGTCGTCTGAGACGAAGATGCTTTCCTGGGCGGTTGAGCCGTTTTCAGCGTCTATGCTCGTCTGTTGGGTTAATTAGCGCTGTAAACATAAAAGCTATCGCTGGAGCATTCGAGACCACCTTCTCATGCAAACAAGCTGCTAATATGGAAGTCTGGAGGTCGTCGCGATGATTTTGGCGTAACCCCTGGCGCAGTGACGGATTACTTACCGGGTGCAAGGGAGCAGCGGACTCTGACTTCACGCGCGTCTCGACGACTTTGGGCGCAGGCGGTGGCGAGTCGTCGTCGAGGCCCCATTCTGGACTTGACATTCGCTCAAGCGATTCTGGAGAGTAAGAACGATCCATATTGACCTTCGGGCGAGTCATGGAGGGGAGGGATCAGGAGGTAATGGAAAAGGTATATACTCGAAATCCTTGATGATAAGCCGCAAATGTAATGAGGCGGAAGCCTTGGTAGTCGCCTTGAGCTGGCCGTTGCTGCGCAGGATAGGTGGTCTGTCACTGACGAGGCTTGGTTATATACACTCACTCGATAACAAAGACGCACGGTCAATAGGAACCCACTAGCGCCCATGTGACATCAATTTGGGTGGGGTAAATCTGTAACTGGACGGCGGTGATAGAGGGACAGGCGTCGCCTAGGACCGACGGTGAGAGAGGAGACGCTGCGACTGCCTGGTGGAGCACGCTGGCCAACCACTGCGCGGCGCTAGGTTAAGAAGGTGCAGATGTTGTTTCTGCGAGGCGGCTATATCTTATAGATAGCAAGACTCCGTCCTACAGACAGGCAAGCACAAGCGGCCCTAGTGCACCTCTTGTTTGACAATCGCGATGTACTACGGGTTCATTAATGTTAGAGTTATGGCGAAAAGTTAGACTATTGCTATCTTCCCCTGAATTCTATGATAATATCACTGTCGACAGATAGTACCTACAGGTCTCTAGTCTAGCAACGCCTTAGTCGACATATCTAGATGGTTAACACGCTTGAAGATAATTCTAGAGCGATAGTATCTTTGCTTAGCATAGTAGTAGTATAATACCTACAAAATCCTTCTTAAACCGACTAGATGTAGAATCAAAGAAACGAAGTTAACTAGGTGATCGAGACGTATTGCCAATAAGAGGATGTAATGTCTTTGGCATAAGAATCAAGAAGAAGCATTGTTACGCTGCTGAAGCCTTCGAGTAAGCAAAAAGTGAGGACAAAATTCGAAGAATTTCAGCAGCAACACGAAATGGTTGGCGAGCTCAATGCGCATGACATTATCCAATTGCTATTATTTGTAGTCTACAACCGACTTTGAATCTTCTCCAGCGTATCACCCAAAGCGTACTCGCTCGCGACAGTCTTGCTCCTGACCTTTTCTCCATCCTCCTTGGTCACGTAGCGCGCCTCCACAGCCGGGTTGTAGGAGAATTGACTCGCTTTCTTGACTTCCTCATCACTCATCTTCGCATTCTTCTTGCCATCGGCACGTTTGTAGACGTTGATGACAACAGCGCCACCCAAGCCGAGGTTGTGCTGCAGCGCAGCGTCGGCCCCTTCAGCAAGTCGGTTGTTGGCCCAGCCACGAAGCTGCCATGTTAATTCCGCGCATTGAGCTAGTCCAGTCGCGCCGAGAGGATGTCCTTTGCTAATTAGACCGCCTGATGGGTTGACGATCGGACCCTTGCCGCCGTATGTGATGTCGCCGTTGCGCACCATCATGTGTGCTTTTCCGGGCTCGCTGAAGCCCAAGCCTTCCAGTAGAATGAGTTCATTGGCTGAGAAGCAGTCATGCACCTCTGCGACTTTGATGTCTTTTGCGTTGACGCCTGCCTCCTTCAAAGCTGCTTGCGCCGCGAGCTTGGTCATGTCGTAACCAACGAGATCCATCGACGACTTAGAGTAGAGTTGCGGTGAATCTGTCATCAACGATTGGCCTGCGATGAGGATAGCTTGACTCTTCAGGTGTGGCCTCGCGTCCAAGAATTTCTGGCTCACAATGACCGCCGCACCCGCGCCATCGCTTGTCGGGCTGCATTGGAGTTTGGTCAATGGGAAGTGAATCATAGGAGCCTTCTCGATCTGTTCGAGTGTGTAAACATCTCTGAACTGCGCGTAGGGGTTCTTTTGGCTGTGCTCGTGGCTGATCCTAGCAATCTCGGCGAAGTCACGCGCCTCAGCGCCATACTTCTCCATGTATTCAAGACCGGCATTGGCGAAGTATTGAGCATTGGGCGGAGAGTTGCTGATACCGCGGGTATCGGCCATCATACGCATCGAGAGTCCCATGGGAGAGGGTCGGTCACTCCATGCAGATTTGATGGATCCTGGTTGCATCTGTTCGAATCCGATGACCATTGCGCAGTCCACTGCTCCATTCTTGATCAGAGTTCGCGCCAGATGTAGTCCAGTCGAGCCAGTGGCACATGCATTGTTTGTGTTGTAGATTGGAATACTGATAGCTGTTAGTGCCTTAAGACTTTAGGACAAGGCTGTTGACTTTCATACCCTGTCATGCCAAACTGGTAGAAGATCCTTTGGCCACTCGTGGTGTCGCCGTAACAGTAACACGCAACACCAGTCTCAACCTCATCGTAGTTGATCTGTGCATCGAGCATTGCTTTCACACCCGCCTCGTAGCCCATTTCCGGATATGCGCGCGTCTGTCGAGGTTTGATGAACTTGGTGAGCCCGACACCAAGGACATATGCTGGAACCTCATTCTTCGCCATTGTGATGTGATGAAAAGCGATAGACTCCGTGCAAAAGGGATCGAGTTATAATGTTGGATTCGATTTGACTGTTGGTATGCCTAGCTATGGTACATGGCATGTAGCTGCCGGGAGGCGACATCCTGGGCCGAGGTTCGACTACCCCACCTGTACACCTCCGCAGCATCAGCACGTTCGACTCGTTCCTTACTCAGCGAACACACCCACCGACCTAGCTTGGAGACAGTTCAATGACCTTTTGACCCTATCGATGCACTAGTCCATGCTTGGCAGGTCCACGTCCTCAACTGCTGCGCCGTGCCTCTGTGGTCGGCAATCGGCACACCGCCAGCAAGGTAGCTGCTTGAGCGCATCCATCCTCACAACTTCATCTCGTCGCTCATGGCTGAGCATCGAGCAGCCATCATACTATCGTCACCCGGATGCAATATCGTACTTATCCACCGGAAAGATCGCAGGTCGCGTCGTCGCAACGATGTTGAGGCATGCACGCGCGAAAGTCCGTCGGCTTTGCGCGTCACCTTCTAAAAACCCCAATGTTGCATCGATGCAATTCTTCGAAAATGCCGTTGTGCCGTATTTTGATTGTTGCAGAACGACCGACGCCGAACAAGGACACGATCCATGGCTTTTCGCATCTGGCTTCGGGCCATATCGTGATCAAAGCAACCTGACTCCTGCAGCCACCGGGTGCAACAGCCGATGAGGAACACCCGACTCAACAGTCAAGCCCACGACTTGCGAGCGCGATCTATGGCAGATGGTGTTTTGCTTGGAGGCCCACGCGCAATTTGCGAAGGATAGCGGTTCCTGCCTTGGCGGCGTTTCGAAACGGCTCTAGCATCCACCTCAACGTCAGGTTCATGCCATGGAAACATGAAACATCGTCGTCGACGAATGAACGCAACCGTGTTACCGAACAGTGCGTCGGCATATTTCCGTCCAAGCTCCACCCAATCTACTTAGCACAGTGGTGCAAACGCCAGTTGACCGTTCTGACACCTGTAGCGCCACCTATGAACCATGTTCCTGGGCATCGGAGGTCCAGATTCCAGGTTGACAACGTGGTGAGGCTGCATCATGAGCTTGTTTGACGGGCGCTAGGTCGGAGAAGGATTTCATCCTTGGAAGTGGCAGATTGAGGGAAACATGGTCCACAATGGGTATTGTCTTCATATAAGGATGCATCTTGCGGCGACTTATTCGGTACACGCTCTTTCGCTTTTGTCCATTCTTTCGCTTTACTTGCTCGTTCTACGAACGTTGCTTTCCAGTCATTCTTTACAGCCTTGACGGCTTCACACTCTTTTTTTTGCGGCAGTGCCACACCATTCTTTCCTCCACTTCAGTCATCACTCACAGCGTCACAATGGCACGATCATTCCTTCTTTCCACCGCCGTTCTGGCTCTTGGCGCATCGGCGCAAACATCTGGCAAGTTCACAGATGAAAAGACGGGCATCACCTTCCAGGGTTACCATCACTCTTCCGGCTACACGTTGGGTTATGCCCTACCTGAGAAGCCTACTACGGATGTCATCATTCAGCTTCAAGCACCCATCACCAACGATGGAGGTTGGGCTGGTTTCAGTCTGGGACAATCTATGACCGGTAACCTGCTGGTCGTTGCTTGGCCTCACGAGGACAAGGTCCTTGCATCATTCCGGGAGGCAACTGGCTACACCAACCCAGCTGTCAAGACCGGTGACTTCACCATGTCTCCTATCCCGGACGGTACTTTCGTCAACGACACCGCCTTCTCATACACATTCTTGTGCTCAAACTGCATAAGCGACGACCCATCTACTGGCCTTGTCATCTACGAGGACCCAAGCGTCAACGTTCAGGGCTGGGCTTACTCTGACAAGCCGCTCGCAGACTCCTCGGCTGCTGACGCGGTTCTCAACTACCACGACGCTGGTTTCGGAGCTTTCGGACTACCCATGAGCAACGCTACTAGCCCCGATTTCGAGAAGTGGGCTGCCCTTGCGGTGGCTGGCACCCCTAGCACCCCCGGCGCTGGTAACTCTACTACCCCTGGAGCTGGTGGCAACTCGACTGCCCCAGCTGGTGGAAACACCACAGCCACCATCGCAAACTCTACCTACGACTACATCGTCGCTGGAGGTGGCGCCGCCGGTATCATCGCAGCTGAGAGGTTTGCCGAGAGCGGCGCGTCTGTCCTCTTGATCGAGCGTGGTGGCCCGTCGTACGCGTTCACTGGCAAGACTGAGGTCATGCCTTGGAACGACACTGTCTCCATGTACGATGTTCCCGGATACGGATACTACCTCAGCGATGTCGGTAGCCCTGCTTACTGCGCCGACACTGCGGACATGGCTGGCTGCCTGCTTGGCGGCAGCACTGCGATCAACGCCATGATGTACGTCAAGCCCCAGGAGCGCGACTTTGACGACAAGTGGCCCGCTGGCTGGAAGTGGACCGATGTCGCCAAGGCGGCCGACCGTCTGTACGAACGTAACCCTGGTCAAACCTACGGATCCGAAGATGGTGTCCGCTATGACGATGGCGCCTACGACGTCCTCTCCAAGTTCTTCGAGGGCCAAGGCTGGTCCGAGACCGACTTCGTCAAGGACCCCAACGCAAAGGTCGATGTCTACGGCC